GAAGATCCGCAAAGAGGAGTGGGACAAAACCCCTCCTGAGATGTGTGCAAACCTGGTGGCCAACTACAAGAAACGTCTGACCTCTGTGATTGCCAACAAGGGTTTTGCCACCAAGTACTGTCATGTTTTGCAGAGGGGTCAAATACTTATTATTTCCCTCATTAAAATGCAAATCAATTTATGACATTTTTGACATGCGTTTTTCTGGATTTTTTTATTGTTATTCTGTCTCTCACTGTTCAAATAAACCTACCATTAAAATTATAGACTGATCATTTCTTTGTCAGTGGGCAAACGTACAAAATCAGCAGGGGATCAAATACTTTTTTCCCTCACTGTATATATAATCCAAAAGGTTAGTGGAGTACAATGTATATTTAATCCAAGAGGTTAGTGGAGTACAATGTATATTTAATCCAAGAGGTTAGTGGAGTACAATGTATATATAATCCAAGAGGTTAGTGGAGTACAGTGTATATATAATCCAAGAGGTTAGTGTAGTACAATGTATATATAATCCAAGAGGTTAGTGGAGTACAATGTATATATAATCCAAGAGGTTAGTGGAGTACAATGTATATATAATCCAAGAGGTTAGTGGAGTACAATGTATATATAATCCAAGAGGTTAGTGGAGTACAATGTATATTTTTTCCAAGACTTATATTTTATGCTTGTGCGTCACTGCCAATGTCGTCCCTTAATTTAATGTAACTCCTTTGTCACTTTTGTTTTGTGTCCATTTCAGCGAGCTCCGCTGATGGCCATGCACAGGTGTGGGTATGGCCTCTGCTCGAGCTGCTGGCAGCTCCTGCAGTCTCTTTCTTTCGTGTGGCATTGTGAAAAGCAACAGGTTTTCTTTCTTAATGATCGTCATAAATGAATGCAAAGGTTGCTCATCCAGTCCAGTGAGGTGGTTGACGCAGTGTGGATTTCAGTGATACCGCCAGGATTTTCATGGATGGAGCATTCATCGGTGATGGGCTGGATGGTTTGGACTCCTCCACAGTAGCAGTTGGGCGATTATTTGATCTTCCATTCATGGAACATGTACGCTGATCTGCGTTGTGTTCGAACGTGGTCCAGCGTGGTCCATAGTCGTGGAAGAGAGAATCCCGGTACTTCCACCGTTGGATCCTGCAGTGTAATCTGGGTAAGGGATTGCTTCTGCCGCCCACGTGTCTCTGTTTGCCGTGTCGGGAACAAGCACCACCTTGCCAAGTGGCCCAGTTGGGCTACATGGTACGACTGTGATCTTCGCACGGCCGTATGGGAAAAGTGCAGAGTGTAAAATGTTTAAAATCTTTGGCGGAATGTAATTTTCCATCGATTAAAATCCCAACGTTTAATTGTCTTAATAGGCAGTAGTATTAATAAAAGTGGACTCGGACATGACACTAGAAGGGACGACGAGCGATGGTCAAGAATAATAACGGAGTGGCAGCCAAGGAATGGAACGCGTCCGAGAGTTACGTCCACAGGGGAGATGGAGCGATGACATCCATTCGTGTGCGGACGCTGGGTGAATGCTTGCATCGCATGATCGTGGGAGGTGGCGACGTATTTGGGAGGCATTCATCCAGCAGTGGATTGACCCCTGGAAGGTGATGTTTAATGTTCGAATGGTACGTTGATTGTGGTTTACGCACAGCTGTCGGTGGTGTAACCGAAATTCAGTTTCCCTCCCAGCCTGGGTGGAGCCGCTGTCTCAAGTTTGTGGTTAAGTGACGACAACGCAGAGCGTCACTTGAGCTCGTGGATGCTCCTCAGCCCCCGTGTTATTGTTCCGATCTGGCTTGAGCAGGGAGGTTGTGAACCTGGCTCCCGCTGGACAGAGTGGACGTTCATAGCCAGGAGCCAATAACAGCGGAATCCAGCTTCCGTGTGCCTGGGCTGTCTTGGGAGGCAGAATGGCGCGGTGGTAAAACTTGCGCCTCACAGCAATAAGAACCTAGGTTCGATTCCTGACTTGCGGTGCCTTTGTGTGTGAAATTTGTATATTCTCACCTTGTTCTGCATGGATTTATTCTGGGTCCTCTGGTTTCCTCCCATGGCTAAAGTATACGATCTAATTGGTATTAGCCAAAACATGTCAATGGAGGCTACTCCTGAAAAATATTCTTTGGACCTGGAAAAAATTATTTGGACTTTGTGTGGCTTTCCTGGGCACCTCCGATGACAATGGGTGGCAATACGAAAGAAGTTCAACATGGATATGCAAAACAAAGTACGTAGAATACAGGGTGGCCATATGTCTGGTGACCCCCATTTAATTATCCCAACTTTATTTTTTTGAACTAAGGTTTATTCAAAACAGAAATGGATATGCAAAGGAAAAAATGTTAGAGATAAATTCATGGGGGGGGGGGGGGGTCACGAGACGACTTCTGGTCCACCCTGTAGGTATGATTGAGTTTCCCTGCAAGGAAAGCCATGCTAAGGTAGGTAGGGGCTTTCATTCAGGCTGACTCGAGGCCATGTGTTCGTTGTTCCCTTTTACAAAAGCCAAACCGACCTAACAGCTGGACATGGGACTGCGTGTGTGTCGAGGAAGGTGTGCCCTGTCGGGTTGGTGGGAGAGGGGCCAGGCACGTTGTGGCAGCTGGATGTGACTTGGATTTCAGTTACCCTGCTTAAAGCCGGATGTTGTCATGGTATTCATGGTAAACTTGCACTTTAATGGACCAAGTGGATTGGAACATGTTACTACAGCTTACACACGTTTCTAAACTGGCGTATGCGCAAAATTTATTTTCCACAGATTAACGTCTCGGCACAGAATCGCACCTACAATTAATTTTAATTTGTACCTGATGATGATTGCTTGCTTTTCAATCGAAACGTCGTATGATATTATGTAATTTATTATTTTATATTTCTACGCGACTTTACCGAAAGAACCAAAGAATAATTCCTGCAAAAATCACGACGTTTCGGCCACAACACAAGCGGCCTTCATCAGGTGAAGGGACCAGACTGTCTCGAAGACTGCTCTGGAGTGAAACAGAGCCAAGCTCAGACCACGGCCTTTAAGCTGTGTGAGAGGGATTAAGGTGAAGTAACACAACTGTCGGGATGACAGAGCTCCAATGAACGCTGGGTGAGAGAAGTGAGGCACCCCGACAAAGGAGTTTACACATCAAACAGGAGAATTTAGCATTGAAACAGCCGAGGGACCAGCTTATGGCTGGTCATCCCGACAGTTTTGTTCCTTCACCTTAATCCCTCTCACACAGCTTAAAGGCCGTGGTCTGAGCTTGGCTCTGTTTCACTCCAGCGCAGTCTTCGAGACAGTCTGGTCCCTTCACCTGATGAAGGCCGCTTGTGTTGTGGCCGAAGCGTCGTGATTTTTGTTGTTTTATTTTTTACCTACGTGACTTTACCGAATAGAACCAAAGAGTATGGATCCTTGCAGTCACGAAAGCTTCAAATCTAGAATAATTCCTGCAGTCACGAAAGCGCCAAATCAAGTTTGAATCTCTCAGGTTAGCCGTGGTGTTCCTAAGTGTCTGAAGCTACATTAGTACAAGGAACTACAGTACAGTAAATGCAGGGACTCAGCAGTCTGTCCTGACGTTACCTCACGCGAATATTCGAGTGTATAAATGAAGGGAACCCCGTCAAAACAGGAAAATAGAGCAAGCCGGAAACACCGTGGGTTTAAAAAATCATTGGGCCTTAGTAACAACTACTTCGCGTGGCAAATAATTTCTGCCTAAGTCACTGTCTTAAGTTCCTATGTGTGTATGAAGGTGGTCGGGGCAGTGTCAGCTTACTCGTGACCTTCTGCCAAGCGATCCGTTGCATCACGGGTAACGACACCCTCATGTGGTTGGGTGAAGCCGCTGTGTGAAGGTGACTTGTGACGGCTGTTTGTTTTTAAATTCACGTTTGACGTTCAAATGAAATGTGTGAGGCCTGCCCGTACAGTGCCTGGTACAGGACTCGCGCCGCATGTGGAGCCGACTGGAGAGCCTGCGTTTGGAGGCAGGACACCGGCAAGATAAAATACATCACAGTCTTAGATCCGATCTCGGAAGCTTAAGCAATGTTGAGTCTGGATAGAGCTTGGATTCACGGTGCATAATAGGTGTTACCGGTTTGTGCGAGGCTATTGCGTGAAGAGGGAGCAGATGACACCCAAAGAAAAATCAGTTGCTGTACTGCTTGCCCCCCCCCCCACCATCTTCACCAACCCGCCTGGTGAAGTATGGTCAAACAGCTCCCACAGTCCCCACGTGTGTGGGGAGACCCCATAACGTAGCCTGCAGCAAGCATCACCCAGGCTCAACCTTGCTGATTTGGTCATAATTAGGCAGACCCAACACAGTGTAACACATCCCATATATAACCCCATACATTCCATATATAATGAGAATATTTTTTCTGGAGGAATCTAATGAGCGATCAAGCTCTTTTTCACAGATGTCCAGTAGGGGCAGGTCAAAACGTTACTGCCAGCCATCTCAGTCAACCCATAGCACCTGGGTCTGATCCTTGACCTGCCAGCGAGCCTTCGACACTTCAACACTTCACGTGGCCTCAAGATGTACCTAGCCTGGCACAAGCGCCGTGGAAAGGTCAGCGGGGAACGCGGGTTGCTTTATTACGGAGGGGTGTGCTGAGTGTGTGGGTGTGTCTGAATATTTTAGCCGAGTGGAAGTTGAATCGGTTACACGTGTTGCACAGAGCAGCTCATCACCTATCACAAGACCCGGCCTCGTCCACAGTCACACTCCAACGGAGGGGGAATTTTGCAAGACTTACACAACTGTATTACCCCACTTACACAACAGTATTACCCCTGTTACACAAACAAAATCGAATGAATGTATCATTATTTATATTTCAATTTTTACTGTTATTTCTATGAGTGGATATCTTTACAACACCACGCTTTCTCAAAAATCTCCAGTTAATTCAACGGGCTCTTTAGGAATGAGACGTAAAAGCGATTGACGGGGGTGTGTCTGACCCCTACGTTACACCGCTGAGTTGGTACGACCCGAGGTTATAAAGAGGGGTCCGCGCTGCCTGCCGGGAGGCGCGAAGATGGCGGCCGTGCGTGGCTTCGGTGCAGCGCGCTCCACGCTCAGGAAACTCGCGGTGAGGTGTCAGACGAGGAAGCGGTGGCGGTGGTACAGAAACACAAACCTGTAACGTTAGCACCCCCTTTTGTTTTATTAATTGTTGCCTTTAACCCGAGAGCGACGCGCTTGCGGTATCGCGTCGATGTCCCGTCCTCAAGGTCGAGGCGGCCGGGCTGAGGGGACGCGCGACCTGACGTAACCTCTTTGCTCTGTCCGCGCCGGCGCGCAGCCGTTTCGGCCTGGTCCCCGTGTTCAATGTAATTTCTGTCCAAGGTGTTGGAAACGTAATGAAATGTAACGCCGCCGCTGGCAGTGGTGGTGTTCGCCTGTGTGCGTGCTGCAGGGGAGGTTGAGGCTGGGCTGCCTGGCGGTAACTCGCGCGACGCGGGTTCGACTCCCGCGTTCGCCACGTCATTTAATTTAATGTAATTAAATATACACAATAGGGTACATATATCATTGTATCGTTGTTCTGAAGTCTAAATGACATTGTTTTTAACACACAAAACACGTGCGTGTTAAGGTTTGCAAAATGTAACGAAAACAATCATTTGTTGGGGTTTATCATTAAAAAAATTGCAGCTTTGTCGCGTCAAAAAGGAAATTTGTCTAGCTTAAAAATGTGATAATTCCGTACTGTACCATGTTATGTGATGCGTGTGTACAGTACATTGCAGCGTGTAACCGCACGCCTGTGACCCCAGTGTTCCTTTGATCAATTATAAACCAACTTAGGGATGGTCAAACACAAAATGTATCTGCTTGGCATACCCTCAATGTTGTCTGCGATTCAACTCAAAAGTATTTGCAGTGCTGCTTTTACCCTTGGACTCCGAGCCTCGAATACGTTCTGATCACCAAAATGGCTTTGAGCCAAAGGCCCTAACGCATCATTAACATTGATCTCCATCTATGAGAACAATGATTTGTCTTGAGGGACAATCCAGCATTAATCAAACACCTTCAAAAAAACGTTGCATTCTATTCGGGATATGACGGTATTCCAGACAGAGCAGTCGGCCGTGCAGGAGGTTGTGAAACCGGCTGCTTGAAAACCGGGAGAAATGTGGTCGAGGAGATAATTCTGAAAGGAAACTTGTGGCGGTCTTCTCTGGGTGGCCATGTGCTGCCATGGATAAGCAGTGTAATGTGTTCCCGTGTGTTCCCGTGGGTAACAGTGGCATTAAATAAGATGATGATGATGATAAACAGGTGGAGTGTTCTCCCGGTTACACGAAGCACACCCAAATTTGCTTTCAAATTTCAGGGGGATAAGTGCGTATTATAATCCTGAGAATATGGTAATTTCATCAATCTGCGCTCTGTAAGGTGGGCAGAAAACTTCTGGAGAGCTGCGTCATAGGTGGCTGCTCGATTTAATGAGACGCGGAATTGCTTTGAGCATCATGTGAGCGATATGCATGCGTGCCACGCTGAACAGGTCCCTGCAGGGTGGGCTGGTAGGACAAGTCTCTGCGCTGTCTATTGCTGATTTTACACCCAACAGCACGAGATTTCACTTAGTTAAAGTATTGAAAGGGGACGGACGGACACATTAATCTATTGCAGGCTGGTACACTCAGTTTACAACTTCGTTCCTACCAGTATAACTTAATTACATTGCGCACCTCTGAGAGCTTGGCACCGGGATGACTTCTAGAATAGGCAGGGCATGAACCTGACAGATTCGGAATTTTGTTTTGCCGGGAGTGGTGAAACACGAAATGGAATCACAGGCACAAGTAGAAGAGTCGTTTGTATATTTAAATTATCAACAACAAAAACGTATCTGGCACAACAAACACGGATTTGTATAATAGTTAACAAATTTAGACTTTCGCAACGTTATTACATGCTTTTATCGTCGTAAATTTGGATGCTGCATAACAAACAAAAAAATATTTTCTAATGGGCGTTTGGACTACCGCAAACTTTGAAGTAAGAGAAAAAAATAACAACCAAAAGTTGATTATTTAAGCCTGCGATGATGACCGTATCCATTCCCGTGGTCGCCTCGAGCACGTAGACGTCCGTAGTGCTCGCGTGCACTGTAGAAAGTTATGCAAACACATTGAGGAAGGCATTTCAGTTTGTCCTTAAGCACCATTCACCTCCAAAGCTGTGAGTGAGGTCTTTGGATATCAGTATTTCAGGCACGTTCCATTAACGTATACCACTTGTAGTTGGTAGTTCTATTTTTGGATGTAGCTTAGAATGCGCAAAGAATATATAGTTTCATTTTAATAATGTTCTCTTGAATAATGTGCTGTATGCATTATTTATAAGTATATTGTCTTTGGGAATGTGAGAGCCATAACTTGTTTTGCACGAGAGGGCATACACTATAATGGGACAGAATACAAACGGCAATAATTATGTATTTTTCTGTGATTGGTTTGATTATAGGTGGTAAGATTAAACCATAAATCAAAAACTAGATGAAACATTTAGCCATATATAACACACCTCAAAGGGGCAGTTAATTATTTTTGTATCCAGTTTTAGTCCAGATGACTGCACTCAACCTGTTTTCTCTCATGCAAAAGACGAATGTGGATGGTCCTCAGTGAACCTTTGGCCCATGTTTACTGGCACGGCTGGGTAGCATGATGGATCATGAGCCCATCGCAAAGCAAGCAGGGATGTTTGTAATTGTCATCATTCTCTTCACAGCTGTGCTTCATTAAGTGTTCAATTGGCTGTTCATTTGTGTGCACTTTACTGTTCAAACATTGTTTTAAGCATCCTGATATACTAATTCATGTGTGTGTTCAAGCCAAATTTTTTTTTTTAACACCTTACTCTATTTAATACAAATATGCCAACAACTGTTATTGTAACACATTTTAAGACACCTGTTTTGTAGAAAAAAAGTATGGTTTAGATTGCTAACATTGTTTATATTTACTTCACAGCTGTAACATTGGTATTTTTTGTTATCCAGGTAAAATCTTGATTTTGCCGTTTACATATTGATATTCTCGTTGACTGTCTACCTTATTTGTAGTGAATATAAATGCGTATTGTCATAACCTTGGTCATTACAAAACTCTAACCCTAACTAAGCCTAACTTGAGTAGATGATAAATGAGAAGAATACCTGAGGTTTCATGGTTACATCCTGCAAGAAATACAACGCTTTTTTTCCATTGTAGAATCCAGCAGTGGGACGGTCAGTAAGTGTCACCAGCACCAGAAACTTCAACTTTACTGTCTACGGCAAGAGAGATGCCACGGCCAAAGCCTCTGATGCGGTAAGCAATATTCTTGGTAGCCTTGACATTGTGTGTATGGCGATTAATATGGTGAGGTATTGAAACCTAAACTGTCACGGTTCTATGCCAATTAACCCTTTGGCATTCCAGTCTGTCCCTGTGGTAGTTTCTTAGGCACCACACAAGTGGGTTGAGACCCACTTGTGTAGGGTGCCTTAAATAAGTACCTGTGGTGCCAGGAAGTTGGGTGTACATATATGTAAATTGTGTAAGGATTTTTATATCCCTAAAACACTGTAATCATCACCACCCATGATCAATCAACTGCTGGATGAAGGCCTACCCAAGCTATCACCATCTCTCACATTCCTGCGATGTAACATTCCATCTAGCTTGTGCGGACGAGCTAGTTTCATCGCTACATCGTTAGTGTCAACCACCGCCATCATGTAGTGACGTGTCTTGCCCGAGCCTGCTTTATTTGATCTTTCTGACTATCATATGTAGATTTGGCTATTAAGAACAATGCATTATTCCTGTGTTTAAATTCTGAATCTTTCAAAGTCAATGAAATTAATTAGGTTTATGTCCTTTAAATGTTTTTTTATCCCCTTTAAATGTTATTTATCCCCATATTGTTGGGGATTAATGGTGCATAACTTCATCAAAATCTGGCCCTTTTTTAAGTGTATATCTTATAAATGCACTGGGGTGTGTGATAGTGGGAGGGTATGTATGTTGAACTTCTTTCACACCGTACGTAGTCAACCATGCTAAGTGCGGGGGAAAGCCAAACTAAACACAAAGGCAGTTCTAAAGAAATTAGTTTTTAATCTACGATGGTTAACGAGGAGTGTCTGTTCGCATCTTTGCCCGTGCAACAGATCTCTCGCGAGTACCCCGTGGTCGACCACGAGTTCGACGCGGTGGTGGTCGGTGCCGGTGGCGCGGGGCTGCGTGCCGCCTTTGGCCTCTCGGAGGCCGGCTTCAACACGGCGTGCATCAGCAAGCTGTTCCCCACGCGTTCCCATACCGTCGCCGCACAGGTGCGTTACTGTCCGATACCAGCGCAACGCTACTACTGTGTGTCCTTGAAATAACTTGGGCGGACAGACCCTCTCCTGTACACCGTGGGTTTCTTTTGGGAGCCCCTAAATATCGAAAATCTAGAATATCGTGCTCCCAAAGCTGAACGTTTTAACAGTGCGCAAAGCAAGTGATGCATAGGCCGTGTCTCCACACTTTTTATAGCTTAATTTTGGTGATTTCGAAAACGTATGGTTAAGCCAAGTTTGTTGAAGTTCGGAGTTAGCCTGATAACTTAATCTAAATTGTCTCATGGTTGTTCTTGTTAGACTTGCATCCCTTTGGGATTTTTGCACACAGCGTTGATATACGGTGCTTTTTTCTGGAAGATTTTACTGTTTTTTCCTGGATGTTTCTGTTGCGCGTTGTCACTTTAAGATGTTTTTTTGTTCATGTTTTTGTTTTTTGTTTGTTGCGGTTGCACCCGATTCAAGAGCCTCATGGCTCACAGGGCTATACCTAACAAATGAAAACTGAAAAAAAAACTGAAACTGCAGATGCGTCACATACCAGGCAGTCTCAGTTTAGTAGAAGGTAAAAGATAAGGACGCAGCCCTGCAATGACTTTTCATGCTACTACTAGCAGAAAGGTCTCCACTAGAGCGAACTCTAGAGCCCCTTTACAGGGTGTTTTGGCCTGCTCTTCTACAAGGCCCAGTTTAGTACTGTACAGTACTATAGCATTGGATTGTGCTTTCCAGAATTGCTTTTTTATTGTTGGTTTCATGGGAATAATTATTTTTGTTAAGAATATAGTAATGATATACTGAGACTCGCTCACTCTATCCCTGAATTAGTCCAGTATTTCGTGGACCCAGTCTTGTCGTTGCGGCTGTAATCTTCAATTTGGTGTAAATAGTGCTCATGTGCATCCACAGGAGTGCAGCAGTCTTCTGTAGAGGGAGGAGTCAAGCATCTTCTTGTTGATCGGAAGGAAACATTTTTGTCGATTCCCTTGTTTCAGTTCATCTTTTTTTAAGTATAAGGATTTAATTGAAAAGAAAAACAAGTACTGAGTGATCATTTATTGTGCAGTTATGGAGCAACACTTACCACAGCATAAACCTTTGTGTGTGAGTGATGGAAAATCGACATTTCGGTTAACTGTTTCTGTAAAGGAAAGGAGGAGGGATGTGAAAATAGTACCTTGTGCACTCTTTCACGTTTGAAAACGTTGATATTGTTGAACAATTCTATTTGGATTACAAGCAGTGTAGATAATTTGTACAGTGTGAAGTGCGTCTAATATAGCGATTTGTGTACGAACTGTGCATACACCTTTATCAACTTGTTTGAAACGGACCTCTGATAATATGGCAATAAAAAAGTCTAAAATCGTGGACCTTGGCGCCGCGGTTCGGGCTGATCGGCGCGGCTCGTGTGCTCGTGTGCTCGTGTGCTCGTGTGCTCGTGTGCACGTGTGCTCGTGTGCTCGTGTGCACGTGTGCTCGTGTGCTCGTGTGCTCGTGTGCTCGTGTGCTCGTGTGCACGTGTGCTCGTGTGCTCGTGTGCACGTGTGCACGTGTGCACGTGTGCCCTGGTGCTCGTGTGCACGTGTGTCTGCAGGGCGGCATAAACGCTGCGCTGGGCAACATGGAAGAGGACGATTGGCGCTGGCATTTCTACGACACGGTGAAGGGCTCCGACTGGCTGGGAGACCAGGACGCCATTGCTTACATGACGGAGCAGGCACCCAAGGCTGTCATTGAGGTGTGGAGCAGTTGTACGTCCGTGTGTGCAGTCTAGCGGCTAGCGCGCTGCGCTACGAACCCGGCGACCCGAGTTCGATACCCGCTCACAGCCAATACCGGTAACGATTATCTGAACTGGTCCTCGGCCTCTCCTAGGTCGACTCAGCCTCAAATGAGTACCTGGTGCGGTGTGTAAGCATCGCCACTCGGCCGGGCGTGGTGCTGGCCACCCACCCTCATGTGCCGTGCCGGCCTTCATAGATGCTCGCTAACAGCACTTGCCCCAACAGTCTCTTAAGGTTATACATGGGGTCTTTGTCTTTTCTGAGGTAAAACAAAAAAATCCAAGTGCTGACAGTTTAATAGGACTTTAATGTCTCTCAACAATTACATTTCAGTTGGGAGTGCCATTTTTCTCCTTAATTATGTTTCAAAACCGTATGTGAACCCAGAACCTCAGTCATGCCAGCTCTGTGCTCTGAAATGAAATGAAATTTATGTCACAAGTATTTAATTTATAGTTAGTGTGATTTATTTTCTTCTCACCGAATTCATGGGTTATTTTCAGACGATTTTGTATTAAGTGCCATAGTTTATGAATATTGACATAAAAAATTTTTTCGCTTGTGTTCTGCTGATATAATTTTTCCAACCCTTAATTTCTAAATGTGTTTCTGTATAAAACAGACCAACAAAAATAGATTATTTAGCAGGCCTACAACAATAACAATCTTGATTTGAAGCTTTCGTCACTGCAGGAATCCATACTCTTTGGTTCTTTCGGTAAACTCACGTAGGTAGACAAAATAATAGCTCACGACGTTTTGATGGCAACGCAATTGACCGTCTTCAGGTGAGAGGAAAAGGATGATGACGACCGCTTGTGTTGCGATCGAAACGTCGTAGTTTTTTTGTTATATTCTTTGAACCTATCTACGTGACTTTACCGAAAGACCCAAAGAATATGAATTCCTGCAGTCACGAAAGCTTTAAGTCAAGATTTAATATGTAACTATAATACAAATGACATGTCAAAATGCAAAACATATATATGTTCTCGAATTGAACTGTGACCCCCACTTGTAACAGTGGCTTTACTAACTTGAACAAATGAATTTCTACATGTCTGTTTTTGAGTGCCTTTTGTTATCCCGATAATGCTGTACTGCACACGTCTATAAATGAAATGTACTCCTTTGACCCGCAGCTGGAGAACTATGGAATGCCGTTCAGCCGCACGGACGACGGCAGAATCTACCAGCGTGCCTTCGGAGGGCAGAGCCTGAAGTTTGGAAAGGGAGGCCAGGCCCATCGGTGCTGCTGTGTGGCTGACCGCACCGGCCATTCCCTCCTGCACACCCTGTATGGACGGGTGAGCCCACTCACGACCCCCTCTCTGCCTGTAGGTCTGTCCTGGCCCAGGCGTTAGGTGCAGAGATATTCTAAAGTAATGTAAAGTCCATTATCATTTGACGTCTGAATGACGGCCACTCTACATACATTCATGGGGGTTGTTTGACCATACTTTACCAATGCTGGTTAATGCGGGTTGATGAAGCCAGAGTGGAGAGGGCCAGTCCGTAGTGCACACACCAGTGACGTTAACCACGGCTACAAATCAAACTCCGGTCGATGGATTCGTAGCGCAAGTGCGCCATGCCAACCAGCTGACCACAGCGTCACCCTTATCAGAGTTCAAGGACATAGCATGGAACGCTTGATGACTTTAGGAGAAGTGCACTCCAAGGTTGATTTACAGTATTGCATAGCTTGCATGTATATGTATGTGTAATATACAGGACACGGCTTAATGGATTAGAAGAAGACACGTGTTAATTAGTTTTTTTACTGTATTGTTTTGGTCCTCCTGTAAAAAAACCTAAATAGCATTACACACATAGGGCATTTGTTCTCGGTCATTCCTGTAACGTCTCTGAAGGCTTTCCAGTTTTATATCCATGAGAGCTACTCAGGCTGTGAAGTGGACACAATGTTTGCTGGGTGGGATTATAAACACTTTGTTCCTTTGCACTCATGCGCTGGACACAAATATGCGGTTATGTGCCAATGTCATGGCCATATTGGCCAATCGCTTTGGGATATATGACTGCCCTGAAATATAAAAAATGAGGCGACCTTGTCAGGAAACTCTGTTCTGTCAGGGTGACAATAACAAAAACTGCACGTTGTTGCAGGCATAAACTGCTTTTTAGTGCACTCTATGTAGTCGTACAGACCCCAGTGCACTCTATGTAGTCGTACAGACCCCAGTAAATACAGAAATATACATTTAAAGTAAAACCTTTCTCTTTTGTTCGAACGTGACTCTGCTGTCGACTGAATTAAGACAATACTGTTTCACATCTCCAGGGAAAGAGTTATATATTATATCAGGCTGTAACTTAATACTGTTCCTACCAACTTGCAAGTTACTGTTGGGAGTAGCGATCATGCAGAGCCATGATGTGGTTATCACAAGGGTGATGTAGGTGCTGTCTATTTTTGGGCACAAGGCAGGTTCCATTTTGTGCTATATTCATCCTGCGTATGAAAATCGACCCCTGCCCGTGGTTCGGGTTACTTGTTGTTGTGTTATGAGAGTAGCGTGACACAAAGCTGGCTTACCAGTCATATAATATATGCAAGGAAACACTTTGTCGGTGAGAGAAAAGTAAAAATAAACTCAACGGATCGGTTTTGGCTGAATATTAAGAAAAATCACACCGATATGCATGTCTACGAAAGTATTCAAATTAGCGATAATAACATGACCTTCAGAGCCACACAAACTGATTACTTCATGCTGTATGGCATGATGACGCCATCACTTTGGCTGAAAAGGCTTATCCATTTAGGGCTGATTTTGGGCAACCTTAATAGCAACAACCTGATTCGTAAATGTTGTTTATACTGAATCATCTTCATGGGAGTTATCCTGACCCCTGTCACAGATATACGAATAGAGTTCTAGGGTATGCATTCACGCTTTGAACACAAGTTGTAAAACATTGAAAATTACAAAAACAATGTTTGCAGCAACATGTAAATATAACGATGCCATGGTTGTCATTGTGTCATGGTGACAGTCCCTGCGATATGACACCAGCTACTTCGTGGAGTACTTTGTGCTGGACCTGCTGATGGAGAACGGCGAGTGCCGGGGAGTGATCGCCCTGTGCCTGGAGGACGGCTCTATCCACCGAATCCGAGCGAACCACACAGTGCTGGCCACCGGGTAAAACCCTGCTGCTGTAAAGCCAATCTGTGCAGTGTAAACATTCGCACCTCAGAAGCTCGCGCAAGAACGGTCGTATAAAATCGCTCGCGATTTGTCGTTAACAGCTGTTTTGAAAAACAATTCGATTCTGCTGTAAATTTTGCCTTTAAAATCTGTTGTGCTGCTAGTATTAAGTCTTCTATACCATTAAATAATTAATTAAAATAGCTGTTACTCCCAGTGGTTTGGAACCTCATGCAATATATTTAATCACGACTGATTTAAAGCAAGGATATCGATTAATTATGCTTCAGAGGTTGTGCAAATATGGTTATGTTGTGAATTTCACATTCAATAATGAATACAATTACAGGAGAAACACCTTTTACCCACAACACTATTATACGTTCATCCTCTATTATCTGCCGGAGTTCTAGGGTATGCGAGAACTCCGGTTATCCACAGCCTTAATCTTCCTATTATCTGAAATTCTCTATGGTTTTTCTATCTGTTTTTTGTGACGGCTTCCTATTTGCAATATTCTTGGCTAATAAGAGGAGTCGTGTGGAAAATTCACCTTATCTGCAATGTTATCTGATAGACAAGTGGAGTAAAACTGCAGATAGCCCTGCAGATAATAGGGTCCGTGACGTTGGTTCCCCACATCACCACAGATAAGAGGAGTTCTGTATGAAATATGGAGTTTTTTTTACCGAATTAGAACAAAAAATCGCCCTTGTTATTTTGTTTGCCAACCCCTGTGCATGATCGACAATCACTTTCTGCATTGTGCGGCACACGTTGACTTTTTTTTCTTCGCACCTACAGTGGCTACGGTCGAGCCTTCTTCAGCTGCACATCTGCACACACCAGCACGGGGGACGGCATGGCCCTGGTCACACGAGCAGGGCTGCCGAACCAGGACCTCGAGTTCGTGCAGTTCCATCCCACAGGTTGGTGCACTCCTGCGGCTGCCAGTGTTGAAGGAAACCTGGAAAGTTGTCTGTAGGAAGGAGAAATACAACGTTACACTTTGGACCCTTGCGTGTGGGAAGACTGCTTAAGTTCTTGTGCTTTTGCTGTACAGCTTCTGAAGTGTTTCTGAAGGAGCTCCTCGCATCTTGAGTGAAATTTTGGACACGCGGTACAACCAGAAATCACATCGGAGAGCTAATTCAACCAAAAATATCACTTTAATGCTTAGAATTTTTCAAAAAAGTGTCTGAAATTTGATCGGCTTTCTTAACATGGACACGAGCTACTGTTGACATGAAGTTGTGCGGTTTCAATGTTTGAGCGCATAGTCTGAGCTTTGGCCACTAGGGGGCGGTCATGCACCACAGCCACCATTTGGCATGAAGCTCTAAATATTTGGAAGGATTTCAGCTGTCCTGTTGGGAAAATTATTTGTATTGCCAGAGAGCTGTTATTCTTTCACTCGTTACACACAGCTCAGTTTCACTTAAACTCACTTGGGAATTCATTTTAAATAACTCTTCTTTGGTTCTTTCGGTAAAGTCACGTAGAATGAGAATAAAATAATAAAATAAAATTCTCACGACGTTTCGACCACAACACAAGTAGCCGTCCTCAGGTGAAGAAACAGCACTGTCCAGAAGACAGCGCTTGAGTGAACCCTGTCAAGCATGGACAGCGTCTTTTAAGCTGTGTGGGAGGAACAGAGAGCCTTGACAAAGGAGCATGTAACTGGGAGATTAGCATGATGTTGGTGTGAGGGATTAGCACCACGGAGAGCGAACGAGGTAGGACTGGAGGAGGGGGGAGGGGAGTTTACATATAAATTAGCATGTAACTGGGGGATCAACATGATGTTGGTGTGAGGGATTAGCACCACGGAGAATGACGAGCTCGGACCGGGGGAGGGGGGAGGGGAGTTTACATATAAATTAGCATGTAACTGGGGGATTAGCATGATGTTGGTGTGAGGGAGAGATGAGCACCACGGAGAGAAAAATGGCGGTTTTTCCCATCTCCTCAACAACCAGCACCAAGGACAGCGACATTCAGGCGGACGAGTCAATCCATACTCGGAAAGGAGGAGGGGGCAGGGAGAAACAGTCACAATGCCAGCGAAAGAGCTGCGGTCTGACGGTCACCGCAAAATACAATTAATTAAGAACCGAAATGGTTTAAAACATCTTTCCAACGGTTACTAAGCCAGAATCCATCCTCTCGGTTGAAATTTTCTCTGTGTTTGTATATGTGGATGGCTTCATGAACGAATCTCTCATGGTAGCCGGTTGGCTTGCAAAGAACCTCCGTCTTGGAGAAGTCAATGTCATGTGAACCCACTGAATTATAACAGTGATCTGCCACGGCAGAAGAGTTCGTCCTGCCGTGTTTCAAGTCTGCTTTATGTTCGCGGATGCGGTCCGAGATATGTCGTTTGATTTCCCCAATGTAGTTGCTACCACAGAGGCACTTTAGTTTGTAAACGCCCGGGTACTGTATGTCTGGAACAGCATCTTTTACAGATGGAACCAGATCACGGATTTTATGTACTGTGTTGAATCGGACCTGGATCTTGTGTTTATTCAGGATTTTGGAGATCTTTCTAGTAACCCCTGCAATGTAGGGTAAGGTGATGGTTTTGAGTGGCTCCTCAAGAGGATCCTTCTTCATGACTGGAGCGATGGCTTTGCGGATTGTGTAGTTGGAGTAACCATTAGCCCTGCGAGCCTGGTGTACGTGTTTGAGTTCACTGACAATGTGTTCCTGGTCGGAAATGCATTGGGCTTTATGGTATAGAGTCTTGATGAGGGAGTTCTTCTGGGATGGATGGTGGTGGGAATCCGGTTTCAAGTAAGCATCTGTATGGGTAGCTTTTCTGTAGACAGAGTGGCTAATTGAGCCATCAGGTCTCCTTTTAATTAAGACATCCAAAAAGGGTAGCTTGCCATCTTTTTCGACCTCCATGGTAAATCTGATGGATGGGTGCATGGAATTGATGTGGTCGAGAAATTGGTCTAGAGCAGGCTGGCCATGTGGCCAGACGACAAAAGTGTTATCCACGTACCTCTTCCATAAGGTTGGGCGTAGAGTGGCAGTCTGGATGGCGTCAGTCTCAAACTTCTCCATGAAAATGTTGGCTATAACCGGAGACAAGGGGGAGCCCATTGGGGTGCCCTCAGTCTGTAGAAAGTTCCATTCCAGGTGAAGTATGTGTTGGTTAAGCAATGTCTCACCAGAGGGGGTACATCACTATGCAGTCCTTGATGAATCAAGTCTTCAATTATTGCGATGGTGTCAAGTATCGGAACTTTGGTGAATAAGGACACCACATCAAAACTGACAAGCAGGTCGTCTGGGGACAGAGAAATGCCTTTGATTGTCGATACCAGGTGAGTAGAATTTAGTACCGCAGAGGTGGTTTTTCCAGTGAAAGGTCGCAGTATATCAGCCAGAAAACGTGCCAGTTTATAGGTGGGGGAGTTGATAGTAGAGACGATGGGACGAAGGGGTGTATCTTCTTTGTGTATCTTTGGGAGGCCATATAATCTTGGTGGTCTGGCAGCAGAGGGTTTCAGCGAGAGCTGTTTGGTCTGATCAATTGATGCTGTTGAATCAGAGATTATTTTGTTCGTTTTGGTAACCAGGCTGTTGGTGGGATCTCTTTTTATTTTTGTATAGCTGCCATCGTTGAGTAGTTCTTGAATTTTGTTGTTATATTCTGTTTTGTCCATGATGACAGTGCATTGCCCTTGTCGGCTGAGAGGACGACAATATTATCTCTCTTTTTTAATTGAGATAATTCAAAGCGTTCATCTTTGCTGGTGTTGCTAGGTGGCATCTTAGCGTTTTTGAGGGTTGCAGCGATTTGAGATCTTGCTACGTCTGCAGCAATGTGACTCAAGCCCTTGAGTGCAACGTCAACATGGGCAATGATATCATTAACTGGCATGTGTCTCGGTGTGACAGCAAAGTTTAGCCCTTTAGCTAAAACGGATTTCAGGTCATTCTACGTGACTTTACCGAAAGAACCAAAGAAGATGAATCCTTGCAGTCACGAAAGCTTTAAATCGAAATTTAAATCACTCGTCAAGTTATTGGTTTCCAACTGATTGACAGAAGCAACCTCCATACTAGGTTAACATACTCGTATCTCTCATGTATTTAATCAAATTTGTTCTCAATTGTGCCATCTGTGTCATGTTATGATATAAAGATTAAATTCTGGTCTCTTGCAGAGCAGGACATCACTCCATGTTCGGGAACAACTGGAGAAGCATATATATTTAACAGAACTACATCTGAGAGCCCTTTTTTGTGACCTCTGGCACACACATTAGGAGGCAGTACTCACCCAGCCCGTTTGCTAGTCATGTTTATCACATAAGACTTAGATTTTTTAAATATATCAGCTGGAATTTATCTAAAATTAAGTGCTGAACCAAATTGTATGTGATGTGTTTATGTGCAGTGATTTGTAACCAGGCTGAGAGCATCAACTCACTACTCTTGAGAACCCAGGTTGAATCACAGGCGGCCATTGGATTCAAACACAGGATCTTCAGCAGTGCCAGTTTGGCGATCTGACCTCTGAGAAACCGTGCCACCTTAATATCTAACATCTTACATGAATGCATGTCCGATGTTTCACCACCCCCTTGTCTTTTAAAACGCAGGAATCTACGGCGCGGGCTGCCTCATCACAGAGGGCTGCCGCGGCGAGGGTGGAATCCTGATCAACAGCGATGGCGAGCGATTCATGGAGCGCTACGCCCCCAACGCCAAGGACCTGGCCTCCCGTGATGTTGTCTCGCGCTCCATGACCATCGAGATCCGCGAAGGGAGGTATGACCCCCATCGCTCACCGCATGCAGCCTCCCCCTCCCCTCCCCCCCCTGCGATGACTAGCATCGTGGACGTTGTGTTGCGTCGCTCGAGAAGTGACGTGCACAATTAGAGTTGAAATTACCAAAAAAAAGTCGTACCTCCAAATCGTTAGGTTCATTTTAAAAATGGGCCTAAAATTGTATGATTGTATTTCGTCTTCGAGCGTTGTTTGTGTTAAAATTACAATAGTTTTAAGCAATTTATTGTAATTGGTTAAACCAAATGTTACTAAAATTGCTCTTTATTATCAAGTCAAAAGATTGTGCCAAAAGTCAACGTGCATTCTACCGTCAACCTGAAAACCCTGAAATTTCTGAAAGCATTCTCTCTTTCCCTCTTCTTTGTCCAGCTTCTGCCTGCTTCTGTCCTCTTAACCTTTAACCCCTTTTTCCCCCGATGGTGCAACAGGGGCTGTGGCCCAGAGAAGGACCACGTGCACCTGCAGCTGCACCACCTGCCCCCGCAGCAGCTGGCCATGCGGCTGCCCGGCATCTCGGAGACGGCCATGATCTTCGCTGGCGTGGACGTCACTAAAGACCCCATCCCCGTGCTGCCCACCGTGCACTACAACATGGGTGGCATCCCCACCAATTACAAGGGCCAGGTACCGTTGTTATGCTTAATGAATAAAACAGGCCGTGCGATTTAAGTGTACGTACACATGACAACCCAGGCTTTCTGTCGACGCCCCCAGTCAACCTTCACTCAGTGTGGGATTGCTTGTTCCCCTCTGCTGCTCACCTCTCCCCCCATTGCCTGGAACTCCTTCCCCCAGTCATCTGTGCTGTCGACTCCCTGTCACTGTTCAAGCACAGGCTCTCAAGTCTTTTGTTTTTACCTCAGCCTATGAATGGCTGCCCCTGCAAAAGATTTGTTCGCCTTGTTTCTCTTCAACATCTTGAAATGTAACCACATTTAGATGCTATGTCCAGTTTGTTTTTATCATTTATGTTATGTTTTGTTCATTTGTTTTGTATGAAAGTGATTAATCACAGTGTCACCGAGAAAGTAAATTCTGCTTTGATGACCATAAGTGGATGCTTATTTCGTATTTATAACATTCGACCCTCACCCAACGTTCTGATTGAGAAACCACACATTCACACAACTGTGTCACTGAGCTCCATTATATATCTACCACCATGCAGATCACTCGCAAAGAAGAAACACAACCTTAACAAGCTCGCACTTGCAAGTGTCACGGCATGCCTGCTTTAGAGCCAGCGAAAGACAATGATTGACAAGAGGCGTTCGGTGGCCGCGCTCACGTAGGTGCTCACGCGCAAGGACGGCCAGGACAGCGTGGTGCAGGGCCTCTACGCATGCGGCGAGGCCGCCAGTGCCTCCGTGCATGGCGCCAACCGCCTGGGCGCCAACTCCCTGCTGGATCTCGTCATCTTCGGCCGCGCCTGCGCGCTCACCATTGCCGAGCTCGCCAAGCCCGGTAAGCCGTAGGACACTGAAGACGTATGTACTATGTTGAACATCGTTCTCACCGTACGTAGCCAACCGTGCTCATTGGAGGTGCGGGGGAAGGACAACAAACTAAACACAACAAGCAGTTCTTAAAAAATGAGTTCTCAATCGATATTATTTAAAAGTGTATAGCTCCAGTGGCTTCCTAATATCAAAAGGAAGAGCGTTCCAGACGGCCGCAGAAGCGCATTTGAACGCGCGCAATGCGGTGAGTGTCGTTGTTCGATGACTAGCCAGAAGCCGCTGCGACGATGACTGGAGTTCACCTGATGGTTTATGTTCCTTGACGAGATGGGAAAGGTATCGTGGTTCATTTGTGGCAAACACTTTGTGTGGAATGAGTGTGAGCAAGCGGGGAGTTAGTAACAAGCTCGAATGTCTTGATAGGAATCACTCTCTGGGCTCTTCAGTGAGTCGCTGGGATTTGAGATTGCTGTTTTATTAGATTAGATTCGTTGATCCATTAGATTTTTTTAGCATTGTGCATATAGTGTCTGTTGTGGCTACAGGATTCTGGAATCGGAATAACGATTTCCTAACTGCACAATTCATTAATACAACTAATATACAGCATGTCAAAATTTATATAAGCATTAAAAATAATAGTTTGGCACATATGCAATACATGTAAGATGGGCTTATAAATGTATTTAAATTGGTGAATAAATGTTAGAAACTTAATATTCAATAACAGTTTAATGTAGATGCTACATTTAGAAGTAGGTACTTTTTTACAATCCAGAGATGGAATTGGACTTGAGTAGTGACCTACACCTTCAAAGTTTATTTGAGTTCTTTTATAAGGTTAAAGATTTCTGGTTTTGCAGACTTAAATTGCATATTTTCAGTCTGAACATTAGCCCGAAGGACGATTCATGAGTTGAAAACATTGTAAAATATAGTGTATGCAGGAAAACTGTCATTTGCTAATTGTTTTGGACCTTTTGAGTGTTGCCACAATTGCTGAGCCATTCTAAAAATCACAAAATGCCCTTGGCTCTACAATTCATTGTACGTTCAGAGATGAAGAAACTAATTGTGAGGTGTACCGGGCCAATCGTTGCCTTGTGTCGTAAAGATCGTTCTCACGAAGAAACACCTGTGTGTGTGTGGTGGTTTCTGGCGCAGGTGAAGCGCTGGCCCCTATCAGCCAGAGCGCCGGAGAGTCGTCCGTGGCTAACCTGGACAAACTGCGTTACGCCGACGGGTCCGTACGCACCTCCGAGCTGCGCATCAACATGCAGAAGGTATGGACGTCCACTTGACTGAACCAAAATTATCTTTAATGTGTGGATACATGAATTAACGTGAGCAAAGGTATATGAAAGTGGTGCGGTGCAGGTTGTGATTTGTCAAGTAAAATGTTAAAAGAGATTAATTTTCATCAATAAATGTAACTAGCAGAGGCTGTCTTGTATTAGTATGATTTTTCTAAATTGTTATATCGCAGGACCATGCGAGATGCATATTGATCATGGCTGATGATTAATTATTTTATCTTTCATGTAAGTACCTGACTCCTTCCAAAAACGTTAAAGCAAAAACATGTAAAAAAATCAGGCTGTGCCTGCCATATTGCTAAACGTCCGTGACTATCTAGAAATTTAATCACCGAGGCAGGGGGGTTGTTGCTTGAGTGTGTCGTGCAAACCCTCACCCTGTCTACTCGATGTACCCGCAGACAATGCAAACCCACGCAGCCGTGTTCCGCACGGGCCCTGTCCTGGAGGAGGGCTGTAGGCAGCTGAGCAGCCTCTACCAGCACGTGCACGACCTCAAGACCTTCGATAGAGGTCAGCCACGCGTCACTCGAGTCCCCGCGTCTTTGCGCGTTTGTGTATGAGCTCATGTGTGCACCCATTGTGGCTCGTAGCCAAGCCTGTAATGGAAAGCAATGCACAAGTTAACTTTTGCACGGCTCAAGTTGCGTGAAACAAAGCTGTGTTGGAACATTGCTACAGTTCATCGTGAGTTAACTCCCCCTATTGACAGCATGATTTTTTTTAATTTTTTCCAATTCAGTGAAGTTGCGTGTAAATAGTTGTCCTCTTAGAGTTCGGCACCCTTTTGATAACTTGCCTAGTCCTATTTTGGTTACTTTCGTGTATTTGGGTGAATTTGTTAAAAAGCTGCACTCCTGCTGTTCATATCGCAGTAATCAGAAGTTGGTTTCATTGCACACACGAACAATAACGGACTCTGGGGAGGCGGGAAACCTTGAGTAGACGCTGGGATGAACAAATTGTAACACATGTCACATGATCATTGTTTATATAAGGCAGCATTTAAACAGGTGTGTGTGTACGGTTTGTGTTGCAAGTCAGAAATCTCTCGATGCAATGGGCCATGATGTTATTTTGAGTCTTCAAGTTTGGCTATTGTTACACTTGTACACATTGGCAAAATGAAGAGAAAGCCTTGCCCTGTCCATTGGGAAGCCCAGTCGCTGGTAACAGTTAACATGAATGCTTGTAAGTGTCAAGCCGTTGGTGGTAGTCTTAAAGATGTGATGATAGATGAGAACAGGAATTTTCTTGCACATGTTTTGGCCTTTCAACCCCGTGGTGTGACGAGGTTTGGGTTTGTCTATTCACACATCAGCAGATGGCGTTGACGTCTTATGCAGTGCTTATCTTTCTTGTATGTGCAAGTCGATTACATTTATCAGTTGTGTGTGAGTGATCCTGACGGCTAAATCTGGTAAAACCGTGAAAAAAATATAGAAAATAACTTCAGCCACTCAGACCATATGGAAATACCTTCATAAAAGTGGCACCATTGTTGTTGGCTGGTCATGTAGCTGCTGATGGTGTAACTTGTCCTCATGTAAACTCTGTTGGTGACTGGGGAACACTGAAAGTTGAGCAAGACAAACAAGATCCATCCTGCCTCTTTGACACGTCTCTCTCTGGGACAGTCGGAAACAATTTACGGCCTCTACATCTGCTTCCCCTCATCCCAAGCTGTGCGGTGCTTTTAAATCTGCTTCATTTGAAAAATAATAATTGAGAGAGTAGGTCAGTTTAACACGTAGGCTTTCGCGACCAATATTATTCATAAAGGTTTTTGGGTTAGATCGCGTTATTTATAAATGTGTCGTAACCCTCCACCACCCGACACGGCCAATCAGCAGAAAAAAAGTGTCATGTTGACAAAAGACAAATAATTCACTACTTAGCCCACCGGTGTGTTGAAGAGTGAATCCACAACATTTACAGTTTGAGTACGACGTTTCGCTGGTAAATACATCCAGCATCATCGGGCAATTCACCAGAATGGTAAAGCCCTCGCTTGCTCCCGGTTTTATATAGAGCAGCAGGGTGACGTCATCATTTAATTCATATCAGGGGCAGTGATTAGAGGCGGAGGGGGGGGGGGGTATTGTAATTATATAATCGATTAGTAATCAGTCATTGGTTATGATTAGTAATGAGTTGTAGATTAGTAATTAGTTGTAATGTGTGTTAGTGATTATAAAGACGCACTACGACAGAATGGCTACAATAATGCTCAAATTAACAGAGCACTGAATGCCAAATCACGATCGCAAAGCAATACTGCTGAAAGCGACCAGATTGTTAAAACAATAAAAATTCCATGTATCTCAGGAGTAACTGACAAATTAGCCCGTGTTTTGCAAAAGCAAAACATTACAGTAAGATTTGGTACAGTACACAAAATTTGAAAACTGGTATCTTGCACTAAAGACGCATTACCTAAATTATCAACAGAAGGTGTATATCGGATTAATTGTTTATGTGGCAGATGCTATATTGGACAGACGGGACGTAACAGCGTAAGACTAAAAGAACATCAGAGAAATATTAAATAATCTCAAACACAACTGTCGGCAGTGGCAGAACATGCTTGTCAACAAGGACACTCAATTGATTTTGACAATGTTGCAGTGTTGTGTAAAACTAATTATTACTGGCAAAGACTAATTAGAGAATCCATTGAAATTGAGAGGAATAAGAATAACTTTAATCGCTCTGACAGCTACAGGCTTAGTGCGGCCTGGAAGCGTATTATTAAATGATACACATTACATTTTGATTTAAAGCTTTCGTGACTGCAGTGATTCATGTTCTTGGCTCTTTCGGTGGAGTCGCGTTGGGGGGAAGCAATAAAATAATAGAATATATGTTTGTTGTTTCCCTTCGGCGTGGCTTTGCCGAGGGAGCTAAGAATATGAATGCACATTACAATTCCTTATAGGGGAAACACATACTAATTAACGAATTACTAACATAGCATATAATCACTAACACACATTACAACTAATTACTAATCTACAACTCATTACTAATCATAACCAATGACTGATTACTAATCGATTATATAATTACAATACCCCCCCTCCGCCTCTAATCACTGCACCTGATATGATTTAAATGATGACGTCACCCTGCTGCTCTATATAAAACCGGGAGCAAGCGAGGGCTTTACCATTCTGGCGAATTGCCCGATGATGCTGGATGTATTTACCAGCGAAACGTCATACTCAAACTGTAAATGTTGTGGATTCACTCTTCAACACACCGGTGGGCTAAAGTAGTTAATTATTTGTCTTTTGTCAACGTGACACTTTTTTTTGCTGATTGGCCGTGTCGGGTGGTGGAGGGTTACGACACATTTATAAATAACGCGATTTAACCCAAAAACCTTTATTATGAGAGAGTAGGTACTTGTGTTTCTGCAAGTAAGAGACCACATTTCTTCAATTCGCCCATAAATTCTCAAAGCTCCAGCAGAGGGCATGTGAGTTAGCCAGGCAGCGTGCAGGTGTTGAGAGTTAACTGCCCTTTGAATACACCGTCAAGTTAGTAAATGAAACCACAACACGGGGGGGACGTGCTTACCGAGTGCGGCTTTGCGATGGCCCCGATAGGCATCGTGTGGAACACGGATCTGGTGGAGACCCTGGAGCTGCAGAACCTGCTGCTGTGTGCCATGCAGACCATCCACGGCGCGGCAGCGCGCAAGGAGAGCCGCGGGGCACACGCCCGCGAGGATTACAACGTGAGACGCCCCCGCCTGCAGAGACGGACGCACTCTCACCTCTTCATTTAACCCTCTCGTGCATGAATTATGAGCGCCTGTTGTCAAAATAGGAGTCTGGGAAGTGGACACGGAGGAGCCAAAAGGGTGAATAAAGGAACACAATTGACTTGATTCCGGCGGACAAACTCCAGTTTGCCAGAGGCGTCTTTGTTTTCAACAAATTCAACGCAGAAAAAATGACATATCGGTGCAATGCAAGTTGCTCTCCACTATTGCCAAAAAGAAGGCAAAACCAGGATTATTGCCAAATCATCTAGGTCAGCGGGCAGCCGATTAATAACAATTCAGCAGTGTGTTTGGTTTAATGTGATTTTAGTTCTGAAAGCAACCCCTAGGTATGTTCAAAATGTTTAATATAATTTCATAGAAGTCACATGTCTCATAGCAGTCCACCAGAGTGAACGTGATGCTGAAGCGTAAAAGAGCTGCAGCTAAAAGATAAACGTGCCAAGTCCATTCACGAAGGATTACGTATTAAAACATTTTATGTAACAGGAAAACGATATCTTGAGCACAGCTGCACACAAAAAAATAATTTCAGAACTTAATCTCATCCAAATCCCTTTTCAAAATTAATTTTAGAGTATTATACAGGATTACTGTGATGGGTAGGGTTCTGGAGCTTATCTGGACACTGAAGAGGTTAAATAATGGCATCCCAACAGGACAGAATTAGGACAATTTAATGATGAGAGAGTGATCATGCAGCAGCTGCGTTGGAGATCACTATTTCTAAAAATAGCTGCTAGTCTTATCAAAATGTTCACAATGATATACGAGCTGCGGTTGGCAAGTAAATTTAAATTCTGAAATTCATATGGCTTGAAACAACACTCCCTCAAAACGTATTGGATGCCATCGCCCCCTGTCACAGATGACTGATGTAGCTGAAGACCCATTTAAAAAAAATTTAGAACGTGTTTTTCCGCGTGCTCTCACACAGCTGGCCGAAGGAGTGCCAATTAACCTGCCGATGTCTGCACCACAGGTGCGGATGGATGAGTACGACTTCTCGAAGCCGTTGGAAGGTCAGGTGAAAAAACCAATTGAGGAACACTGGCGCAAGCACACGCTCTCCTGGGCAGAACCTGAGACGGGCAAGGTGAGAGGCTGCTGCATTGACAGTTTTTTTTTATAATTGCATAACATTGCCAGGATATCATGGGGACCTCCCTTGCCGTTATCAAAATATAAGAATAGGTTTTACCCCTTCTGGAAATAAGAGGTATGAAGATGTTAAAACATCAAACTGAAACCTTTTGCAAGGAATCATGTCTGCATTAACCATATATACTTGTGGCGAACATAAACATGCTCTGTTAGTATATGCTTTGTCTTTGAAACTGATTGGTCCACACCAGGCAATGCATATACTACCAGAGCATGTTTTTGTTTGCATGTTCACCACGAATATATGTGGTTAATGCAGACATGATTCCATGCAAAGGGTTTCAGTTTGATGTTTTAACATTTTAACACCTATTCTTAGTTCTTTCGGTAAAGTCACGTTGAAGGGAAACAATAAAATAATAAAATATATATAAAACAATAAAAATTCTCACGACGTTTCGACCATAACACAAACGGTCGTCATCAGGTGTGTCGGTTTGCATAAATTTATTTGTTTTTAAACGGTGTATTTATTTATTTATAAAAACGTTAGCGCCGCACGCAGCGATTTGGCAGTTTATTTAGAAGGACTAGTCCATCTATGTTCTGAAAAGAGGAGGGGGGAGACGAAATTTTTTTAATGTATGTTGTCTGAAAGCCACTGTAAGCATGAACAATCAATTAAGACCTGAAATGGTTTATCAAATCTTTCCAATGATTGCTAAGCCAGAATCCATCTTCTCGGTTGAAATTGTCTCTGTGCTTGTATATGTGGATAGCCTCATGAACGAATCTCTCATGGTAGCCAGATGGCTTACAAAGAACCTCTGTCTTGTAAAAGTCAATGTCATGTGAGCCTACTGAATTATAACAATGATCTGCCACGGCCGAGGTGTTGGTCCTACCGTGTTTAAGGTCTGCTTTGTGTTCACGAATGCGGTCCGAGACATGGCGTTTGGTTTCTCCAATGTAATTACTACCACAGAGGCAACTTAGTTTGTAGACACCAGGGTATTGTATGTCCGGAATCACATCTTTTACAGACGGAACCAGATCACGGATTTTATGTAATGTGTTGAAACGGACCTGGATCTTGTGTTTATTCGAGATTTTGGAGATCTTTTTTGTGATCCCCGCAATGTAGGGTAAAGTGATGGTTTTGAAAGGCTCCTCAAGAGGGTCCTTCTTCATGGTTTGAGTGATAGCTTTGCGGATTGTATAGTCGGAGTAACCAAGCTCTTAAGGCTAATGGTTACTCCGACTATACAATCCGCAAAGCTATCACTCAAACCATGAAGAAGGACCCTCTTGAGGAGCCTTTCAAAACCATCACTTTACCCTACATTGCGGGGATCACAAAAAAAATCTCCAAAATCTTGAATAAACACAAGATCCAGGTCCGTTTCAACACATTACATAAAATCCGTGATCTGGTTCCGTCTGTAAAAGATGTGATCCCGGACATACAATACCCTGGTGTCTACAAACTGAGTTGCCTCTGTGGTAGTAGTTACATTGGAGAAACCAAACGCCATGTCTTGGACCGCATTCGTGAACACAAAGCAGACCTTAAACACGGTAGGACCAACACCTCGGCCGTGGTAGATCATTGTTATAATTCAGTAGGCTCACATGACATTGACTTTTACAAGACAGAGGTTCTTTGTAAGCCATCTGGCTACCATGAGAGATTCGTTCATGAGGCTATCCACATATACAAGCACAGAGACAATTTCAACCGAGAAGATGGATTCTGGCTTAGCAATCATTGGAAAGATTTGATAAACCATTTCAGGTGTTAATTGATTGTTCACGCTTACAGTGGCTTTCAGACAGCATACATTAAAAAAATGTCACCTCCCCCCTCCTCTTTTCAGAACATAGATGGACTAGTCCTTCTAAATAAACTGCCAAATCGCTGCGCGTGGCGCTAACGTTTTTTATAAGTAAATAAACACACCGTTTAAAAATAAATAAATTTATGCAATCCGACACACCTGATGACGACCGTTTGTGTTATGGTCGAAACGTCGTGAGAATTTTTATTGTTTCATATATATTTTATTATTTTATTGTTTCCCTTCAACGTGACTTTACCGAAAGAACTAAGAATATGAATTACTGCAGTCACGAAAGCTTTAAATCAAAATCTTAACACCTGTTTTATTGCCAGAAAGGGTAAAACCTATTCTTATATTGCCAGGATAACTTTACATTGAAGTCCTAGCCTGCTGTCCAAAATGCATTCCTTATTCAACTGCAGAATCAAGACATTTCAATATCAGACGTTTCACTCGTCACATTTGTATGGTTGTGCAATCTGCCAAGTGACGTATCACTGCTGTACTTTTATCTATCTACATATTGGGCTTGATATTGTGCGTACGTAAGTATGTGTGCGTGTCATGTTGCCATTCAGACGCCCAGTTAAAAATCCTTGCAGCGATTTTAATTGAGTGTTTTGAGAGTGGTTAAGTGGATGTGGTTTATGCATATAAAACCATTGTTGACTGCCAAGTGTAAGTTTGTATAATATAGTGCGTTTGTGTTAATCGAGATGGATTTCTTGTACTCTTTAGGTGACATTGGATTACAGACCAGTGATTGACAACACATTGGATGAAGAACATTGTGCAGCCATCCCTCCAGCCATCAGATCGTACTAAAATATGCCCCACATGCCACCTAAATTGTGACCTAAAAAAAATGACATTCATCCCGAACATTAATTTGCACCGGTGAGTACAAATCGAGATAGCTGTCGCAAAAACGAACGTTCAGAGACTGCTGGCAAATGTTCCGCTATACCAACACTTTTAATGGCCCTTTCCTGTTACGTTTGACACTTTGTCAAAATGTAGCGCGTGCACACCACGTCTCATTTTGTTTAATTGTTAAATTGGACGAGAGAGTCATCTGTGTTTTTTTACATGGATTTTCTTTTTGCACAACCGCACAATGCTACATCCTTTCAATCTCAATGCGGGTAGCTTCACCGACATACCTCGAACATTTACATTTGCATAAAACCTTTCCAGACGTTCTAACTCATGCACTGGTAGGCAATGTTTACTGTTTTCTTTAAAGCTGAGCTCAGAATGTTAAAGTAATGTGCAAATGTGTTGATGTGTTGTGGGATGTAAAAGCTAGCAACAGCTTTTGAGGTTGTGTCATCTGCAAAATGCCTTTTGAGTTGATGCCACTCATCTCTGTACTCTTCGATTGGTTCATCATTTAATGTATTCATTGTGTACAACTTTATTAGTGAGATCATTGTGTGCATTTTAAGACTGTCCAATATCCAGGAGTGTAAGTTGTTGGACAGTCGGTTTAGAATCTTCAATGACAGAAACTCGATTAGAAATTGGCCTACAGTTCAAATAATGATTGTAACGTCTCACAATCTGTTCGCATTTCTGGTATTGTAGTCTTCTAATTTGCACTTTATCATGGTGATTTCGTTAATGATCACATGTTCATGGTATCGCAATCTACCACCATGCCTCATACAACTTTGGAAAATTACATCAACTCACATAAATACTTTGGCAAGCTTCTTATGTTTGGTATACATAAATACCAAATTAGTATTTTAAAACTCATGGGAAAGCTTCAAAAGTGTTGATGTTATTCGAAATAAGATGCATTGAACTGTATGAACTACCGGAAATAACTTAGATTGCATGTTTGGTAGCAGTCCTATAGACTTATGACCTCAATATTTAAAACAGTGATTCATACAAATATACTTGATGTGCTTCGTTATGAAAACTACATTAAATTATGCTCAGTAAGCAGACCGCACAAGTTTAACACAGATACATGTGCAGATTTGTGGCCACTTGTATTTGCAGTGGGGTTCTAAATTGAAAGTCAATTCCTTCACAGTTACATCTTGCTCTACATTTAATTGTGGCTGGCTGTGTATTGGCACGTGTGTATCCATACACTATACCTTTTCATTGGTTTGCAAACTGTAAATAAATTGACACAATTGTTCCCTTTGGTGTCTCCCTTTGGTGCCTCCCCGTCAATTATACTTTGCGTGAGCGTGTCGCAGTTTCATTACCCCTGGGTACTTAGTGAATTTAACGTAAATCAACACCGACATGCATTTTTTATTTTGTTTTACAAATTGGACCATTTATAACGTTTTCAGTAAATTACTGCCAAAATAACAGTCTGTCTGAGATGCTGGATCTAACAAGCTCGCGGGTTTGCTCTCGCTGCATTTGGGATTCATGTGGCTACCCGACAGGTGGGCTGTGACGCTGCTTTGCTCTGCCAACTCGGTCCACTTGGACGTTCCTGTCATGCCAGCACTGCATCAATAACCTCGAGTGTCCTTTGCGCGTGTTCGTCGCCGTGCGATTTACCGAGCCAAGGAAATGGAATGTTTCCATTAGTCAGCGACAGGAATATTCTGCTTCATGTCCCTTGAATATCTCCTGGCTCGACCGACCTTCGTTCGTGACTTTCGGAGCTGGTAGTCCATTCTGAAAATGCTGACCAATTTTAATAAGACCCCCCCCCCCCCCACCTGTATTTAAAGCAAAACGTTTGGCAATGTCTTATAATACGGTTGGTGTGCGTGAGTGTGATCACACTTTGATAAACATGACACCCGGGCACACAAGTTTGGGGTGCGTCTTCCAGGAGCGTCTCAGATCCGGAGAATGTTGGAATGCTCACCCTTCGGCATCGTGGCTCACTGGATGAGCACGCGCATCTGTTGCTGTGCACCAGCCTGCGTGTGCCTCCAGCCTTCGTGGCGTCTTTGCACATTTTAGTTTATTAATATATATATACACATTTCCCACAGAATGTTTCTGAAGTTTCAGTGTCAACTACAGTTCATCCGCAGACGGCTCGATTGGACATCACTCCATTTAAGCGTGCATGGTAGATCGAGTTGCAGAAATATCGCGATATATCGTGGTATACTATATCGTGATATACTGCTCTAGCGTGATATAATGCTATATCGTGATATACTGCTATTTCGTGATATACTGCTATATCGTGGTATGCTATAGCGTGATATAATGCTGTATCGTGATATGCTATATCGTGATATGGTATATTGTGATATAATGATATATCGTGATATAATGCTATATCATGATGTTACGATATATCGTGATATAACGCTATATCGTGATATAACGCTATATCGTGATATAATGCTATATCGTGATATGCTATATCGTGATATAATGCTATATCGTGATATAATGCTATATCGTGCAATGCCATCCACGGTCATCATATTGCCCCTTTTGCATTAGGTCCGCCACGAGTCTTCGTTGCTCGTTTGGTCTTTCTTGTTTCATTTCCTGGTCATATTTGTGAAATAACGATAAAGTTATTCATAATACAGGTTTTATTTGGGTTAGATCGTGTAATCTAACGCGATCTCAACCAAAAAAAAGCCAAAAAAAACCTGTATTATGGATGATATTGCTCGCGAAAGCCTACGTGTTAAACGATAAAGTTAATAAGTAATGAAAGTGCTATCAAAAATATAGCTATTACTCATCAAACTAGTATATTGTCAAACATTTTCTATGGTAATGTATAGCACAGTATGATTTTCAGGAAAAATGCGTGTGCTTTTAAATACAGCTTAAAGGTAAAGTGTTGATGGTCAGGTGACTACGCAAATGTAGCTGCAATGGCCCTTTTGCTTTCGAGAATCTCCAAACATTCGCTAAGAAAGTGGCCTTCAACATGAAACTACAGTATAATAAGGCGACGTTTTTGGGCAATGTGCTTCATAGTAAATGGAGAGGTCAGAGAGAGAAATGAGTTAAACGATGACCTCACCCTGCTGCTCTATTTAAGACCGGGAGCAAGTGAGGGCTTTACCATTCTGGCGAATTGCCCAATGATGCTGGATGTAATTACCAGCGAAACGTCGTACTCAAACTGTAAATGTTGTGGATTCACTCTTCAACACACCGGTGGGCTAAAGTAGTGAATTATTTGTCTTTTGTCAACGTGACACTTTTTTGCTGATTGGCCGTGTCGAGTGGTGGAGGGTTACGACACATTTAAAAATAACGAGATCTAACCCAAAAACCTTTATTATGAGTTATTATGAGAGAATTCATAAGATATGGAGACTGCACTTTACACTGTGGGGCCTGATGAAAATCACATTAAAAAATGTTTTCTGATGTTTTTTTGTATTTGAATGACTATAGCGCCACGGTGGCTAGGAGATGTTAACGACCTCGCCCGGTGTACAGGAGGTCGTGGGTTTAATCCCGACCCTAACGCCTGCTGCTGCTGTATATTTGGAGTTTGCGTGTCTCGCTCCCCGTGGTCGTGTGTATTTTCTTTTGGTTTTCTCTCCACATTTAGAGACATCGCGTTTCGAGTGTTTGGCTGCTGAAAGTTTCCCCCATCACCGCCTCCAGCCCTTCCCCCGTCACATTCAGGGGCATTTGCAGAACGCGTTTGTTGTTGGTGACACTGGTATTTTTGGCTATCGGGACGGAGTGGAGGATATCGCCTCCACGGAAAACTGCAGGGGGCATCTGTTGTTGTCCTGAAACCAAATACAACCGCTGTGTCTGTACCCTGTGTATGCGCTGTGTGTCTGTACGCTGTGTGTCGTACGCTGGGTGTGTGTGCGCTGTGTGTATACGCTGTGTCTGTACGCTGTGTGTGTGTGCGCTGTGTGTGTACGCTGTGTCTGTACGCTGGATGTGTATGCGCTGTGTCTGTACGCTGTGTCTGTGCGCTGTGTGTGTGTGTACGCTGTGTCTGTACGCTGTGTATGCGCTGTGTGTGTGTACGCTGTGTGTGTGTACGCTGTGTCTGTGTACGCTGTGTCTGTACGCTGTGTGCGGGTGCTGTGTTTGTGTACGCTGTGTGTACGCTGTGTGTGTGTGCTGTGTGTGTACGCTGTGTGCTGTGTGTGTGTACGCTGTGTGTGTACGCTGTGTGTGTGTGTACGCTGTGTGTGCTGTGTGTGTACGCTGTGTGTGCTGTGTGTACGCTGTGTGTGCTGTGTGTACGCTGTGTGTGTGTGCGCTGTGTGTGCTGTGTGTGTGCTGTGTGTGTGTGTACGCTGTGTGTGTGTACGCTGTGTGTGCTGTGTGTACGCTGTGTGTACGGTGTGTGTACGCTGTGTGTGTACGCTGTGTGTGTGCTGTGTGTACGCTGTGTGTGTGTACGCTGTGTGTGTGTGTGCTGTGTGTGCTGTTTGTGTGTGTACGCTGTGTGTGCTGTGTGTACGCTGTGTGTGTACGCTGTGTGTGTGTGCTGTGTGTACGCTGTGTGTACGCTGTGTGTGTGTGTGTACGCTGTGTGTGTGCTGTGTGTACGCTGTGTGTGTGTACGCTGTGTGTGTGTGCTGTGTGTGCTGTTTGTGTGTGTACGCTGTGTTTTCCCCTCGAAACGTCTCTTCTTGTGCACAAGTCCCCTGGAGATGGCGAGCGGCGATGCATGCTTTGTTCAACTGCAGCTGGCGCGGTGTTCAAATTCAACGCGACACATTCAGGGACTGCATCGGCAATGGACAGAGGTCGGCAACCAAAACAACACGAGGCATTTCTTTAGCATTCGGTCAAAAAGAAACTTCTATATTTTAAGAGCCGCATTGCCCTGTGGTGGTGAATACGAGGCGGTGGTGGTCCTCAGTACGTGGCGTCACGAAGCAGGCTCTGAAGAGTCGCAGGTTGCCGACGCCTGGCAACTTGGTACAAGCACAGATCGAAATCAACAAATCCATCTTCATCACCAACTTCGTCGTAATCAACCATGGCTTATCCTCTGCTGGATTATGGTCTCCCCCGTGCCACTGCCACCCTCTCATAATTCTACAATACCACAATCCGTCTAATGCCTGCACATGAATTGATCTCACTCATCGCTCCATCTGCACAGTGGTCATCTTTGCAATTGCATTGTGTCCTGTGGCTGCCATTCCAAACACAATATAGTTCAGTATTTTCCAAAGGCCATCAACCTTTTGAGCGCCGTGCCTTGTCCAAACGCCACTCTCCTGGACAATGCAATGCCTCTGGTTTATCTTTCTTCTCTGAACCATGTGCTCCTTCTGTCTCTGTGTCATTCCAAGCGTGTTGACTTTGCACCTTTCAGCTCTTGTTCTGTGTGATTTTTATTGTCAGCGTCCATTGTTCACGATCCGTCCTTTTGCAAATTAAACGCACTGGCTGGAATGGTTCTGCAAATCAATTGTCGAGCGTTTTTTTCTGCAAAAGCTCTCCATCCTACGATTGTTTGCCTCTATTTCATGAATTTGAAACTGATCCACATTCATGAATTGTCGAAGTGTACATATTCTACTTTATTTCACTGTTGAATCCCTGCAACAATTTGTGTTATTTTATTTGTAAGACTTGTTGTTTATCTCTTATTCTTTAGCTTATATATCTTAAGCCCAACTTTGCAACCTTCTTTGTGAAGTTTTACAATAATGTCCTGTAGTTCATTTTGCCTGGTTATCTACAGTCGTAGACTAATATGGACTAGCGTTTTGGTAAAGGCCCTTCTTCAGAGCAGAGAGAGAGAGAGAGATTGAAGTCGGACAGAGGTGACTAACAGAGATCACAGGCATGTATTGCAAAGTGCGATATCCATCTATTAGCTACTCACCGTTTCTTCCTGCTCCCGTGAACAGAGGCCATGTCCCAAAGCGTTATCTTACGACGGGCCTACACTCTTTCTGGTTTAGAGCAGTGGCACATTGAGTGGTAACTTCTTTTTTTAAATATAGCCTGGTGTCTTTTGAAGTCAAGTTTACAGTTGTCTGTGCAAGGTTATTTACCCACAGCCCAGGGTAACCGAGGACAGCGCTGAGAGTGCGTCTTGTATTTTGTATTTCCTCAAAGGGGGGAAGGGGGGGGGTGTCCACAGAGGGCACATAGATACAGTTAATAGGCAGTTTACAGCGCTGTTTGCTCGAATTTATTTTGGACTCGGGTTGCTGTATTGGAAAATATCGCCGTCTCGACTGTCGGAGCAATGTTTTTGGAAATGCAGTTGTCGCATTCTGAGCGATAACTTCAAGGTGGGCTAAATTTAAACGGTGACTTGGCGAGTTTGTCATCGGCACAGGCTGGCTAATTACACTGGCACAATGTCGTCCGCGTTTCGCTTGAATGCCTTACGATTACTGCATCACAAAAGCAAAGTTCGTAGGCCTCACGCAGTGAATGAAAGTCCTGCCTCGATGGTTACTTCTAATTGGCTCACTGCTGCTGCAGATGCCTTTGAGCCCGGCCCTGTCTCTGAAGGACACAAATACACAGCGCGCTTTGTCTGCTGGGAGCTTCACGGAAAGACGCTGGGTTCAAAAAATAGCGGCTTCCTCTCTTGCGTGGAATGTGTTGCGAGTGTCGTCACCTGAGAATCAACAATAGCCGCGGTTTATTGCAGGTGTTTTCGATCACCAATTTGGCATTATACATCGCAATCACCGCCCCTACTGAAAAAGAACAACCCTTGTCGGACCCTCCTAATAAAGCGTGACTTTCCTGAGTGAACTAGCGAAATAAATAAATAGCCCACAGCAAGATCGTCATGAACATGCCACGCGTGCAACCTCTCAGCTAATTCGCTGCTGGATGAAGGATTCCCCAAACCGTGTGGGTCGCGGAGGGTTTTCGTCTGTAACACCTGGTATGCACGGTGATCGTGCAACCAAGAGCTGTCTCGGCTCAATCGTTTCCTGCCTCCTGAGATCTGACGACAGCTCAGAAGTGCTTTCCCAAATTTGCGTATTTCAGTTCAACATTTGGCTCACTCGACAGGGTCCACGTGTTGTGCACGGCATAAGCCACCGGCAAAAGGTGGCATTCGTGTCCACCTATCCAGGCCGATCCCATTATCGGTGGAGCCAGAGCTGCTGCGTATTGGGGCCGTCCATAAAAGACGTCATCCGATTTTGGACGATTTATGACCGCCCACCCTCGTCACACGGCGTCACAAAAAGTAAGACCCCCCCTCAAATATGACGTGACAAAGCTCTGCCCCCCCCCAAAAAAAAATGCTTCAAATCGCTTTAAACTTTTGTCATTGTAGTGCGTATTTAATGTGGCGCTGCACTCTGATGTAGGATAAAACATTTATTAAAAAGTATATTTAATTAAGTAGAACGTGTTGTCTATATATTTTTTTAGTTGCTCATTTTGATGTGACGTCATATTTCTCAACCCCCCCCCCCCCTCACATCGTCACAAATGTCTGACCCCCCCCCTCTCCTAGGTGCGTGACGTCATTTATGGACGGCCCCATTGTGGGCATGGTTTAGGTTTAACGTCTAAGTAAGGGGGGTGGGGATTGTTTGGACATACTTCCCCAGATTGGCCACTGCGGGCTGGTGAAGATACAGTACCTACCTGAATAGAGAACGCACCACGACCAGTGAGCAGGGCCCCCGATGTGAGGCCACTGCAGTGATCACGAGGCCACTGCAGTGATCACGAGGCCACTGCAGTGATCACGAGGCCACCGCAGTGATCACGAGGCCACCGCAGTGATCACGAGGCCACCGCAGTGATCACGAGGCCACCGCAGTGATCACGAGGCCACCGCAGTGATCACGAGGCCACCGCAGTGATCACGAGGCCACTACGTTTCGATCGCAATGCTTGTGTTGCGATCGAAACGTAGTTTTTTGTTTGTTATTTTCTTTGAACCGATCTGCGTGACTTTAGCGAAAGACCCAAAGAATGCGTGTAACACATTCTTTGGCGATGCTGCGTTTACAGTGGTGCACAAGAACACGTAACAAAGAAACCTCAATTATTATCCTAAACGTCGCCTATTCAATACGTTTTGTTTATTTTTAAAGCCATGCATTAGTGTTACTGACGAAAGGTTTGGGGTTTTTTGTGACTTGGCGTTGGCTGCATTTCCACACCGCAGCAGAGAGGCGCCAACGTGTCCCCGTTTGGTGCTGCACAGAACCGCAGCGTGGAATCACGAGCAGGTCTGCTCTTTCTTCTTGTAGTTACAATATCGATTATATGTAACATGCAATTTGGAAAAAAGCAGTGGCACCACAAGCGGTAAATGGGATACATTTGGTCTTCATGGAAATAACTGGGTTTTTAGATTTTAAAACACCCGGATTTACTGTACCAGGGTACCCCACCCATGAATGTAGACTGATATTTCAAGGACAAGCCACACTTTTAGTTTTTGTGTCCTCAGTCCGTTGTTCTCATAATCTGAAGGTCGTGAGTTGAACCCTCACCTGGGGCAGCAAGTGACATGGATGTGTGTATCTGTGAAAGCCGCGCCCTTTACTGTCAAGTGATGTTTTTGAGGAGGGTCTTGTTTGTGGTGTTTGCTCAAAGGTGTCGTGATTTGTGTTGCGAGAATATGAATTCGCGCGGCAGAAGACAAATGCAGTCCAATGTTTATATAAAAAAAACAGCAATGCTTGACATCGTTCCATCTATGTCACGCTTTTATTTCCCACAAGTGCAGAGACACAAAATATCCATCCACGTGTCGCTTGACTGCGGTCGTGGAGTAACAGTGCATCCGTTAGAACCAGGTTCATTATGCATCCTGCAATATTCACTTTGTGTTCACTTTTTTTCACTTCATACCGATCCGAGCCATTCTGTTTAGTAAGGCTTTGAGAATATATAAAAAATCCACTGTACCTCACAATAGTTGTTTTAGTCTGAAAATATCAATGTAGCGCTTGTTGGCATATTTTCTCAATTTAGTTAAATATCACAATGCTGTATAATTATCATTCCTGCAGCATGAGGGCAAATGCAGGGGCGCCGCAGTGGCGACATTTAATTGAAGTTGAAGTCCATACAAAGTTTCCATCACGTGCGTTCCACCGCCTCCTGTCACTGACATGTGAACATGTGTGGTTTTTTGTGCGGTATTTTGATGGCGCCAGTGGTATTTTTATGAAAGCAACCCGCTGTGAGGCCATTCCGGTGATGTCAGGTAATGTACCGTGAACAACTTTGCCCAACAGCGCCGTCTTGTAGGGTTCCAAACACAGGTGCAGTGCTTTTATTGTGGATGGGGAGCATTGTATGATGGGATCAGATACACATGGACCCACCAACCCACCACTCAATTAATCTCAAAATATATTTTTACCGTGCCACCTTTTGCAAACCTTCATTCAACATTTCACTTCGTCCGAACGTTCTCAATCCACCTCTTAAAACTGCACACTTTACCACTTTGCTCATTACGCGGAACCTGTAGCCGAAATGGGACTTTCCATCCCACACATTATAGTCTCAGAAACAATTTAAACGTACGCCACACATACACACATCGGGATTAACTACCTGCATAGTTAGCAAAAAACTATATTTATACAATTACCACTTATAACACTCACTAAATAATAATAAAGACTATGATGGAAAGATATAAACAGACCCAAATGCACACCGAGGTGAGTCCACCTGGGTTAGAATGCAACCTCAAAGTAGCGTCTATGCACGCTGTGGCTTTAGGGCAACTCAAGCACTCGCTAACTAACATAGCCAGCAAGGACCGCGGTGGTGCGTGCGGTGAAGCCAGGCGTCTGGAGGCTATGAATGAGACACTGGCTATGTTTACATACCGGATATACTATGCTAGCCAGCAATGACCGTGTCTGTGTGCATGAAGACAAACGGATTCGCATTCGATAGACAATGGAAATTTTCATAAGTCAAGCGTTTTAAAACCGTGGCGTATTTAGGAGAATTGCACAACAGTACCAGTTGTATGCAAACGATACCTGTTTCTATTGCGCCTGTCACACTTGGCTTGTTTATCAGTGTAACTTTATCGGACAAACATTTGCAATGGAAACGTAGCCACTGATGAAACGCACGCGCGCATCGCACCGAACAGAGCGTCTAGCTGCGGAGCTGGCTGTTGGATCGAGCCAGCGCCGGGTAGATCCCGGGCGACTTGAGATCGATCTTGGGATCCGTGATTCTGGGAGTGGGGGATCCCGTGGCCGCCTGATTGCGCGCTCCGAGGGCAGACTCGAACTCCAACATGCCCTTGATGGGCAGCGGCGTAGGTTCGCGCTCGGACGCCTTGGGCAGCCCAATTTTGGCCGGAGTGAAGATGGGCACGGGCAGCACGGGACGGGATGCGGGCAGCACGCGGTGCTCGCGGAAGGGCACCGCGCCCCACCAGCCGATGCCGCCCAGACGCATGAGGCCCGCCGGGGAGCGCTGCACCAAAAAGGACATCTGACCACGGCGCTCCATGCTCTCCTTGCGCGCCGTGTTCGCCTCCCGAAGGTTGGTCCTGTGCGTGCGCGCAGTGGGCACGAGAGGAATGATGTTAGGATGGTGGGACGGACAGGTGAGTGAGTGCGTGAGTGCGTGAGTGGATTGGTGAGTGTATAGGTGGGTGGCTTAGTGAGCGTGGGTGAGTTGGTTGGTGGTGGATACGTGAGTGCCTGTTTGCTTGTGTGTTTGGGTAGGTGGGTGAGTGAGTTCACCATGCCAAGTTCTTTCTAACGACACTTGTCACAACAGTCTATATGGCTACATAGGAGATGTGCCCGTGTGTGTGCGTGTGCGGGAGAATGTTTGCAAAAGAGAATATGCGAGTGTGAGACCGTGTTTTTGTAAGTGTGTACGTGATCTTGCGTGAGACGGAGAGAGAGTTTTCTGAAAATGTTTTTGAGAGTGTGCGTGTGAATGTGTTTTTAAGTGTCAGGTGTGTCAGAGTTTGTTCGTGTATTTGTGAGTGTGTAAGTGAGTATTTGTGAGTGTGTAAGTGAGTGTATTTGTCAGTGTATGTGAGTTTGTGAGTGTGCATGATAATTTGTGAGTGTGTAAGTGAGGGTAATTGTGAGTGTATGTGAATGTATTTGTGAGTGTGTATGTGAGTATTTGTGAGTGTGTAAGTGAGTGCAATTGTGAGTGTACGTGAATGTATTTGCGAGTGTGTGAGTCTATTTGTGAGTGTGTGAGTGTATTTGTGAATGTGTATGTGAGTGCATTTGTGAGTGTATTTGTTCACGGCCAACACCAATGACGAATATCTGAACCGGTAGTAGGACTCCCCTAGGTCGACTCAGCCTTAAATGAGTACCTGGTGCAGTGAGTAAAATATCGCCACTGGGGAGACAAAGGTGACCGGGCGTGGTGCTGACCACCCACCCCCTCGTGTGCCGTGCCCTTCATAGGTGCTACTCGCTAACAGCACTTGCCCCAACAGCGTGTTACAGCCATAATGGAGGTTTTTTTTGGGTTAGATCTAACCCAAAAAAACCTCTTATGTATGATATTGGTCGCAAAAGCCTGCGTGTTAGTCTGTTGAGGCTATACGGGGGAATCTTCGTCGTCTTTGCAGGTTTGAGAGCGAGTGTGCCCGTGTGTTAGTGAGTGAGCGAGTGTGTCCGTGTGTTATTGAGTAAGCGAGTGTGCCCGTGTGTTAGTGGGTAAGCGAGTGTGTTAGTGAGTGAGCGAGTGTGTTAGTGAGTGAGCGAGTCTGCCCGTGTGTTAGTGAGTGAGCGAGTATGTTAGTGAGTGAGCGAGTGTGTTAGTGAGTGAGCGAGTGTGCTAGTGAGTGAGTGAGTGTGTTAGTGAGTGAGCGAGTGTGTCCGTGTGTTAGTGAGTGAGCGAGTGTGTTAGTGAGTGAGCGAGTCTGCCCGTGTGTTAGTGTGTGAGCGAGTGTGCCAGTGTGTTAGTGAGTGAGCGAGTGTGTTAGTGAGTAAGCGAGTGTGCCCGTGTGTTAGTGAGTGAGTGAGTCTGCCCGTGTGTTAGTGAGTGAGCGAGTGTGTTAGTGAGCGAGTGTGCCCGTGTGTTAGTGAGTGAGCGAGTGTGTTAGTGAGTGAGCGAGTCTGCCCGTGTGTTAGTGAGTGAGCGAGTGTGTCCGTGTGTTAGTGAGTGAGCGAGTGTGTTAGTGAGTGAGCGAGTGTGCCCGTGTGTTAGTGAGTGAGCGAGTGTGTTAGTGAGTGAGCGAGTGTGCTAGTGAGTGAGTGTGTTAGTGAGTGAGCGAGTGTGCTAGTGAGTGAGTGTGTTAGTGAGTGAGCGAGTGTGTTAGTGAGTAAGCGAGTGTGCCCGTGTGATAGTGAGTGAGTGTGTTAGTGAGTGAGTGTGCCCTGTGCTAGTCCGTGTGCTAGTGAGTGAGCGAGTGTGTTAGTGAGTGAGCGAGTGTGTTAGTGAGTGAGTGTGTTAGTGAGTGTGTTAGTGAGTGAGCGAGTGTGCCCGTGTGCTAGTGAGTGAGTGAGTGTGTTAGTGACTGAGCGAGTGTGTTAGTGACTGAGCGAGTGTGTTAGTGAGTAAGCGAGTGTGTTAGTGAGTAAGCGAGTGTGCCTGTGTGATAGTGAGTGAGTGTGTTAGTGAGTGTGCCCGTGTGCTAGTGAGTAAGCGAGTGTGTCCGTGTGCTCGTGAGTGAGTGTGTTAGTGCGTGAGCGAGCGTGTTAGTGAGTAAGCGAGTGTGCTAGTGAGTGAGCGAGTGTGTTAGTGAGTGAGCGTGTGTTAGTGAGTGAGCGAGTGTGCTAGTGAGTGAGTGTGCTGGTGAGTAAGCGAGTGTGTCCGTGTGCTAGTGAGTGAGTGTGTTAGTGAGTGAGCGAGTGTGTTAGTGAGTGAGCGAGTGTGCTAGTGAGTGTGCTAGTGAGTAAGCGAGTGTGTCCGTGTGCTAGTGAGTGAGTGTGTTAGTGACTGAGCGAGTATGTTAGTGAGTGAGCGAGTGTGTTAGTGAGTAAGCGAGTGTGCCCGTGTGCTAGTGAGTGAGCGAGTGTGTTAGTGAGTGAGCGAGTCTGCCCGTGTGTTAGTGAGTGAGCGAGTGTGCCCGTGTGTTAGTGAGTGAGCGAGTGTGTTAGTGAGTGAGCGAGTGTGCTAGTGAGTGAGTGTGTTAGTGAGTGAGCGAGTGTGCTAGTGAGTGAGTGTGTTAGTGAGTGAGCGAGTGTGTTAGTGAGTAAGCGAGTGTGCCCGTGTGATAGTGAGTGAGTGTGTTAGTGAGTGAGTGTGCCCTGTGCTAGTCCGTGTGCTAGTGAGTGAGCGAGTGTGTTAGTGAGTGAGCGAGTGTGTTAGTGAGTGAGTGTGTTAGTGAGTGTGTTAGTGAGTGAGCGAGTGTGCCCGTGTGCTAGTGAGTGAGTGAGTGTGTTAGTGACTGAGCGAGTGTGTTAGTGACTGAGCGAGTGTGTTAGTGAGTAAGCGAGTGTGTTAGTGAGTAAGCGAGTGTGCCTGTGTGATAGTGAGTGAGTGTGTTAGTGAGTGTGCCCGTGTGCTAGTGAGTAAGCGAGTGTGTCCGTGTGCTCGTGAGTGAGTGAGTGTGTTAGTGCGTGAGCGAGCGTGTTAGTGAGTAAGCGAGTGTGCTAGTGAGTGAGCGAGTGTGTTAGTGAGTGAGCGTGTGTTAGTGAGTGAGCGAGTGTGCTAGTGAGTGAGTGTGCTGGTGAGTAAGCGAGTGTGTCCGTGTGCTAGTGAGTGAGTGTGTTAGTGAGTGAGCGAGTGTGTTAGTGAGTGAGCGAGTGTGCTAGTGAGTGTGCTAGTGAGTAAGCGAGTGTGTCCGTGTGCTAGTGAGTGAGTGTGTTAGTGACTGAGCGAGTATGTTAGTGAGTGAGCGAGTGTGTTAGTGAGTAAGCGAGTGTGCCCGTGTGCTAGTGAGTGAGCGAGTGTGTTAGTGAGTGAGCGAGTCTGCCCGTGTGTTAGTGAGTGAGCGAGTGTGCCCGTGTGTTAGTGAGTGAGCGAGTGTGTTAGTGAGTGAGCGAGTGTGCTAGTGAGTGAGTGTGTTAGTGAGTGAGCGAGTGTGCTAGTGAGTGAGTGTGTTAGTGAGTGAGCGAGTGTGTTAGTGAGTAAGCGAGTGTGCCCGTGTGATAGTGAGTGAGTGTGTTAGTGAGTGAGTGTGCCCTGTGCTAGTCCGTGTGCTAGTGAGTGAGCGAGTGTGTTAGTGAGTGAGCGAGTGTGTTAGTGAGTGAGTGTGTTAGTGAGTGTGTTAGTGAGTGAGCGAGTGTGCCCGTGTGCTAGTGAGTGAGTGAGTGTGTTAGTGACTGAGCGAGTGTGTTAGTGACTGAGCGAGTGTGTTAGTGAGTAAGCGAGTGTGTTAGTGAGTAAGCGAGTGTGCCTGTGTGATAGTGAGTGAGTGTGTTAGTGAGTGTGCCCGTGTGCTAGTGAGTAAGCGAGTGTGTCCGTGTGCTCGTGAGTGAGTGAGTGTGTTAGTGCGTGAGCGAGCGTGTTAGTGAGTAAGCGAGTGTGCTAGTGAGTGAGCGAGTGTGTTAGTGAGTGAGCGTGTGTTAGTGAGTGAGCGAGTGTGCTAGTGAGTGAGTGTGCTGGTGAGTAAGCGAGTGTGTCCGTGTGCTAGTGAGTGAGTGTGTTAGTGAGTGAGCGAGTGTGTTAGTGAGTGAGCGAGTGTGCTAGTGAGTGTGCTAGTAAGTGAGTGAGTGTGCCCGTGTGCTAGTGAGTGAGTGTGTTAGTGACTGAGCGAGTATGTTAGTGAGTGAGCGAGTGTGCTTGTGAGTGAGCGAGTTTACTCGTGAGTGAACGAGTGTGTTAGTGAGTAAGCGAGTGTGTTAGTGAGTACGCGAGTGTGCTAGTGAGTGAGTGTGTTAGTGAGTGTGTCCGTGTGCTAGTGAGTGAGCGAGTGTGTTAGTGAGTGAGCAAGTGTGCTAGTGAGTGAGCGAGTGTGCTAGTAAGTGAGCGAGTGTGTTAGTGAGCGAGTGTGCCCGTGTGATAGTGAGTGAGTGTGTTAGTGAGTAAGCGAGTGTGTCCGTGTGTTAGTGAGTGAGCGAGTGTGCTAGTGAGTGAGCGAGTGTGCCCGTGTGATAGTGAGTGAGTGTGTTAGTGAGTGAGTGTGCCCGTGTGCTAGTGAGTAAGCGAGTGAGCGAGTGTGTTAGTGAGTGAGCGAGTGTGTTAGTGAGGAGGCAATAGCCCCTGTTGTGCAACTCACGCGCTCTCAGCCACGTGGCTCACGGTCGTGTCGTCCCACTCGGCGCGGTAAGACTCCTTCTTCTGATGGTTTTCCTCGAACACCTGGCAGCGCAAGGTCCTCTTGCCACTGCCGGACATGCTCACGTCTGGCCTCATGATGCACCTGTAAGAGGCGGAGTGTGAGGGCTATGGCAGATACGCTGGAGTATAGCTCGCTCGCGCGTGTGTGTGTGTGAGAGACGGCTTGTCACAGTGATTATATTTATAGGATTGACCGCGCTGATATTGGCATCGTGACTCACTCATTTGGCCACCTCTGTTGGGGGCGGCGGGGGGGGGGGAGATCTCTCATGCCAGGACGTTAAGACAGCCAGCCCTTCCTCCCCCGCACCCACAAAACTGCCCCCCCCCCCCCCGTCTTGGTCTCAAGTAACGTATCCTAGTAATGTTCTTACTGCGGTAATTAGCTCAGTCTGGATGCGGCCCCTCTGGATGGGTGATTCAGCGCTCATCAATTCGCTGGCGCGGCGTGTTTCTAAGCGGCTCGTCACTCGGCAATGACATCAGGGTCTCGGTGCGATCTCCAGACAACTCCAAGAGACGCGTGGTTGTCAGCGAGGAAGTATTTTATTTGCTGCTTCGGTGAATTTATGCTCAAAATAGCAGGTTAATTTAATTACGATAATCACAATAGCAAGTATTTTGTCATTAACACTCATTACAATATCTGACATCACCAGCCAAGACTATTTAAGGGTTCTTCAACTTCAACATGTGTCTCGCAGTGGTGAACGCTCGGCCAGATGGACCCCGCAACCTGAATTCGATTTCTGACCTCGGCTAACATCAACCCACAATGATCGGCGTGGTAATACAAACTGGCCGAGGCAATTAAATATTTTATTTCTGGGACACAATTTGCCCCCCGCCCCCCCAATATTCAAATCTGCTCAAAATGTCCCCCTCCAATTTTTTTCTATCAAATAGATTTCAGTTTATATGATTGTGGTTATGGTTGTACTTCATTAATCCCTAATCTATGCCATTACAAACAATGAAACAATTTTTCCAGGGGTGTACTCAGCTCCGCGGACTTGGGTACCAATCAATTCGAAATCAGTGCCACTCCACGATGTCGAAACGCCAAACATTGGCATAACAAAATCCGTTATCGAACAATTAAACTTTGAATAGTGTATCGTGTACAGCTCGTCGAGATGAGTCGATTGCCTCATCGCCGACCATCAACAGACTAGAAATGACTGCATCACGGACATTGTGCGAGAGCCGGGGTACTGTGGTACCTCGGGGCAAGGCCTTAACTATAATAATATATGCTCAAAATGTCCCCCTCCAATTTTTTTCTATAACATAAATTTCTGTTTATATGATTTTGGTTATGGTTGTACTTTATTAATCCCTAATCTCTGCCATTACATACAATGAAACAAGAAAAGGTTAAAAAATAAAAAAAACAGAGCAATGTAATACAATAACACGATTAGACATTATTGTAAACAATAAAAAAAAAGTCCAGCCTATGTGTTAGTGAATTTTAAAAATATTTTAGGCAGGAAATTCGTTTTCAAATTAAGATTTTTTTTCTGGGGGGGGGGGGGACCCCCAGACCCCCTGGAGGATTTGGTCCCCCCCAATGTTGACTCCATGGCTACGGCCTTGCCTCGGGGTACTAGGGGACTATGGAACCCCGGAGTACCGCCATAAGGTTTGAATGTCCATGTGATGATCAGCCACTTCGTTGAGCCATCATTCGTGGCCAGGTCGCTTCTGAAAAAGAGCTACAGTGAGGGAAAAAAGTATTTGATCCCTCGCTGATTTTGTACGTTTGCCCACTGACAAAGAAATGATCAGTCTATAATTTTAATGGTAGGTTTATTTGAACAGTGAGAGACAGAATAACAACAAAATCCAGAAAAACGCATGTCAAAAATGTTATAAATTGATTTGCATTTTAATGAGGGAAATAAGTATTTGACCCCTCTGCAAAACATGACTCAGTACTTGGTGGCAAAACCCTTGTTGGCAATCACAGAGGTCAGACGTTTCTTGTAGTTGGCCACCAAGTTTGCACACATCTCAGGAGGAATTGTGTCCCACTCCTCTTTGCAGATCTTCTCCAAGTCATTAAGGTTTCGAGGCTGACGTTTGGCAACTCGAACCTTCAGCTCCCTCCACAGATTTTCTATGGGATTAAGGTCTGGAGACTGGCTAGGCCACTCCAGGACCTTAATGTGCTTCTTCTTGAGCCACTCCTTTGTTACCTTGGCCGTGTGTTTTGGGTCATTGTCATGCTGGAATACCCATCCACGACCCATTTTCAATGACCTGGCTGAGGGAAGGAGGTTCTCACCCAAGATTTGACGGTACATGGCCCCGTCCATCGTCCCTTTGATGCAGTGAAGTTGTCCTGTCCTCTTAGCAGAAAAAACACCCCGAAAGCATAATGTTTCCACCTCCATGTTTGACGGTGGGGATGGTGTTCTTGGGGTCATAGGCAGCATTCCTTATCCTCCAAACACACCGAGTTGAGTTGATGCCAAAGAGCTCCATTTTGGTCTCATCTGACCACAACACTTTCACCCAGTTGTCCTCTGAATCATTCAGATGTTCATTGGCAAACTTCAGACGGGCATGTATATGTGCTTTCTTGAGCAGGGGGACCTTGCGGGCGCTGCAGGATTTCAGTCCTTCACGGCATAGTGTGTTACCAATTGTTTTCTTGGTGACTATGGTCCCAGCTGCCTTGAGATCATTGACAAGATCCTCCCGTGTAGTTCTGGGCTGATTCCTCACCGTTCTCATGATCATTGCAACTCCACGAGGTGAGATCTTGCATGGAGCCCCAGGCCGAGGGAGATTGACAGTTCTTTTGTGTTTCTTCCATTTGCGAATAATCGCACCAACTGTTGTCACCTTCTCACCCAGCTGCTTGGCAATGGTCTTGTAGCCCATGTCAGCCTTGTGTAGGTCTACAATCTTGTCTCTGACATCCTTGGATAACTCTTTGGTCTTGGCCATGGTGGAGAGTTTGGAATCTGATTGATTAATTGCTTCTGTGGACAGGTGTCTTTTATACAGGTAACAAGCTGAGATTAGGAGCACTCCCTTTAAGAGTGTGCTCCTAATCTCAGCTCATTACCTGTATAAAAGACACCTGGGAGCCAGAAATCTTTCTGATTGATAGGGGGTCAAATACTTATTTCCCTCATTAAAATGTAAATCAATTTATAACATTTTTGACATGCGTTTTTCTGGATTTTCTTGTTGTTATTCTGTCTCTCACTGTTTAAATAAACCTACCGTTAAAATTATAGACTGATAATTTCTTTGTCAGTGGGCAAACGTACAAAATCAGCAGGGGATCAAATACTTTTTTTCCCTCACTGTATACAGCTCAGTGGGCCTTACCTTGTAAAATAAAAATTACTTTAATTTATTTAAGTTTGGTTAAACAATCCCCATGACCTACGCGGCGTGGCGGGGAGGATACAATACTTTAATCTAGCAGTGGAGTGACAGGACTGTGAATTATGAACATTAATATTTCCTGAAGAAGGTAATTCGGCCGAAACGTCGAGATCTTTATTTTATCATTGACTGTATACTCCACACGTTTTTATTATTTTGCATCAACCCGTTAAGGGCCGTCCATAAATGACGTCAAGCGATTTTGGTCGATTTTTGACCCCCCCTCCCTCGTCACACGGCGTCACCAAAAGTTAGACCCCCCCTCAAATATGACGTCACAAAGTCTGCCCCCCCCCCCCAAAATGAAACATGCTTAAAATCGCTGTAAACTATTGTCATTGTAGTGCGTATTTAATGTGGCGCTGCATTCTGATGTTGTATGAGAAAACATTTATTAAAAGTATATTTAATTAAGTAGAACGTGTTGTCTATATTTATTAAAAGTTGCGCATTTTAACGTGACGTCACATTTCTCAAACTTCCCCCCCTCCCCTCGTCACAAATGTCTGACCCCCCCCCCCAACCTAGGTGCGTGACGTCATTTATGGACGGCCCCTTATTCGATGTATGATTGATGTATTCTCCTGCCGTAGTCACTGGGTCGGTGGAAGTCCGTCTGGAGCCCGCCTGCTCGCTAGCGACGCCTGCTAACCGACTTGCGAACTGTAACCTCGGTGGCACGATCGTTTCAACTTCGACCTCTGATGCACGTATTGTGTTGCACTTCTTTTGCACCGTACGTAGCCAACCGTGCTAATCGGAGGTGCGAGGAAGGACAACACATTAATCACAACACGCAGTTCTAAAGACGTGAGTTTTCAGTCTAAGTTTAAAGGTGCACAGCTCCAGAAGAGCGTTCCAGACGGCTGCAGAAGCTTACCTGAAAGCGAGCGATGCGGTGAGCGTCTGAGTTTGATGGGCAGCGAGAAGCCGATGCGAGGGTGGCCGGAGTTCGCCTGATGGCTTACGTGGCAAGCACTTTAAGTGCGTACACTCTGCTGCATCGCAAATTATTTAGCTTTTCTAGATTTAAGGCCGCTTGTGTTGTGGCCGAAACGTCGTGATTTTTGTTTTATTTTTTACCTACGTGACTTTACCGAATAGAAGCAAAGAGTATTTAGCTTTTGTTTCCTCTTTTATTAACCACTGTTCGTTATATTTGCCGAGTGTGCATTCATTTACAGTGAAACATTTTCTCAGTTTTTCTTTATACCTCTCATGTGTGTATGTATTTATGCTGAACTTCTCTCGCACCGTACGTAGCCAACCGTGCTAATCGGATATTAACAGTTGTATATTTGTACAGTATATTGCAATCGAAATACCAACTTTTCGTTGTTTTACGATAATATTGGTTACCCAATACCGTTTTACTACTCTCGACCTTTCGTTTTCAAGGTGCTGCCTGTGCATGGAATATTTTTTATTTTATTTTGGAAGGCATTTTTTTTCACCCACACTTGTAAATATTCTGTACTGAGGTGATCTGTGGCTTTGTGGCCACGGCGAGCCCCACGATGGGAACAATTCGGGAACAGAGCAACAGAGAACAACACTGGGTAAATTCGATCCTTCATCCTCATGCAGACATGCATGCAGCTGTTATCGTAGGGGTGATGGAAATAATCATTCGAGACGAAGAGGGCCTGTTGCAGGGGATCTGTAAGAATTGAAAGGATTCACCTCACAGCCTTGCTCAGCAAGCTGTCTTTATGAGACGACCCACAGGTCAGGACCCCTGTCACACGGCACTCCTCGTCCACAACTCCCTGTCCTGT